CTCGTACATAGCTACCCAACAACATTAATCCTTTCCTAACTTCCTGGCTCTCTTGTCCCTTCCAACTTCTCTTACTCCTTATAAACTTACCTCCCTACCCACCTCCCTGCCTATATGTCTCCTTTTCTCCAACCTAATCACCTAACTACGTAATGTCTTCTCTCCCAAATAAATTGCCTCCCTCCTTAACCTAACTTCTTTCTTCCCTCCCTCCCTACCTGTCTGTCTACCCCTCCTCCCTATCCACCACCTTACTTACCTTCCTCCCTACCCACCAGCTTTCTCCATCTACCAATCTGACTACCCCCTTCTCTATCTCCCCACTTTCCAATCTACCTTTCACGCTCCATACGTACCTGCCTTCGTTGTATACACACCTCTGTACCTTGCTCCTTACTTACCTTTCTCCCTACCCACCAGCTTTCTCCATCTACCAATCTGACAACCTCCTTCTCTATCTCCCCACTTTCCAGTCTACCTTTCACGCTCCATACGTACCTGCCTTCCTTGTATACATACCTCTGTACCTTCCTCCCTAGCTTACCTACCTACCTCCCTACATACCTACTCACGTCACCGACCTACCTCCCATCAGACCTACTCATCTTCCTCTCTTCCCACCTACCTTCCTTCCTATGTATCCTGATTCCTTTTTTACCTAATCGAGTTTTTTCTGTGCCCTTACGAAGAACTCGTGGCTGATTCCATATATTTTCATTTTTCATTGAACAATTTATGTCAGGAACCTTAAAATTAAATCTTTCTGTCTTCAAAAATAACTCATTGACTGTTTATATTTACATAGCTAACACTGAATCTTCTTCATTTCTCAGTGGTCAAGATGTGATTCATTCGTACGTGAAAAGTTTGGAAAGCTTGACGGTAAGCTAAAATTCTGAGTACGTTAAAATTTTGATTACATTTGAAGCCTGCCTATACACAGACAAGTGCATATTGGAATATTTCAATAACAATTTTGTTTCAAATGTAACTTTATTATGCATGTACCAAGGTTGAATCGTCTGTCTTTAATGAGAAACAATTTCATTGGTCACACAATTTTTCTCACCAGTGAAAAATATCGTATGACTAATCCGAAGCCTGATACGATTTTTTCACATGTGAGGAAAATTGCGTTAAAAAATGGCGCGTTTTGAGCGATTAGGTATTGTCTTCAGCCCAGCCATGAATAACAATACACATGTCAAACTAAACAATGCCCATTGTTGAACCCTCTGGCTTATAAAATTATTTACGATTGCCGCGAATTTTAAAACTGCCAAGTGCATCAGATGTCAAAACTTCGCTTTACAGATTAAGTTAAATCCTCACTGCGTGCATCGACCAGCGAGCTATTAGTGATCGGGAGCTCTTTTCAGAGCTCACTGAATCCCCGAGTGCCCTGTAATCTGTATGCGATCGGGAGCTGATGCTGAGCGTGATATCAGAAACAACAGATAAAACAATAAGTTACGCGGCCTTTGTTTTTGAGCTCCACATCGACAAGTTAATAGGGACCTTGAGCAGTCAGGACAGCAACACCGAGGAAGACTTCGATTAAAATAATTACTTTCTGCCTTTAATTAAGATTTAAAAAATGGCTGCATGTGTTAACCGTCTCATACAGCGCCGCACTTCAACTTCAGTATAACGTGTAAAAGAAGCGTTGAGTTCCAAATGGAAATTAAAATAATTTGCCGTCGCGGTTTCGGTTCGCAGACGACGCAAATTGTGGGGATTTCACGTTGTTGTTTTGCATGGGACGGCTAAGAAATGGACAAAGTTTTAAAACGCACGTGCTGAGCTATTGTTCTACCAATTAGATCTTTTGTTTCTCCATGTCCTCGTTGCCGTCGCCGTCGTGGTTTGCTTAAGGTCTCTAATGAGTTAAGGCAGTATTCCCTTCGGAGAAAAGCGCGCGTGATCTTCGACCAATGAGAGCCTTCTTGTTTACGCTTCGCCGCTAATATTACAGATCTATAATACTTTTGCCACTGCAAGTAAATGTCACGCGAGAACAATAGGCATATTGCCCAATGGTGTCGGTTTCCCCGCCTTTCGGGGCGGCCATGCGAAGTAACTGAGGGTGAAAGTCTGCAAAGTTTGTAACAAAAACCTTCAAAGTATGACAAATTATTCGGTTGTTCTTGAAAAACAGCAATTAAAAATTTTTTTTACTTTGAGTTAACTAAGTACAGGGAGAGCGCATGATGTAGAGAAATCAAATTTGTCTCAATTTTCTGAACGTTCTTCGACTACTGTTCATTCGGCTAGTTCGGCCGCAGATTATCAACATGGCCTGCAAGCAATGTCGCTCTTTACCGATGCTGTTATTTATGGTGGTCAATTCAACATCTCTATCAGTAGCCTTAATACATCACCGACTTTGGCAACTCTGGCATCTGAAAAATTGTTCACTTAGAGTTACAAAACTTTAAAGTACTCGACTCCAATTCAGAGTAGAAAACACTATGCTAGTTTGAAAGCTCATGTGAGCTAATATTTTCAGAAACTCTTCAAGTGACAAACGAAATTCTCAATTTCTTTCAACGGGGTTTATGATTTTTTCTGTTGAAAATATTTATTTTAAAAGTACAGTATTGCCTTTTAAGCATGTTTGAGCGTCTTGACCGCATTGATTGGGTCTAAATATAAAAATATAGAACAGATGTCGAGTTGGTGACCTCTTTTGTCTTTCGTGGTCAGTTGTCTGTGATTCAAAGTTATAAAAATTTTTAATATCTTGGTACTGATATAATAACAATCGTAAACTCTAAAATGAAAATACTCTATAAGAGTAACGTACCACTGTATATTGTGAGCGATGGAAAAAAGTGAAATCCAATTTTTTTTTTCCACACCGTAAATATTTTCTCAACTGATCAAGTTTTTATCTTGCCTTCACGCAAGTTCTGGCATATTCCTCTGCTTAAAAACGAAGTGACTTTTAAGTTTCCTAATAAGTTTCTGGCTTCAAAGTCTCGGTGTCCGCACCCGTCTGCGATGAATGCGGTTTACGGGATATGCTATTAAGTTGCCACGACTCCGCTAGTATGGCTGTCATTACAACCGAACCAACCTGCAGTGCGAAAACGTTTCTCATCAGACGAATATGGAAGCGATCCATGCAGTTATGAACACTACCTAAGTAGTAGTAAAAATAAGGCCTGAAAAGGTTCAGGCCTGTGCGGGATTTGAACCCATGACCTGTGCAATACCGGTGCAGCGCTCTACCAACTGAGCTAACTGGGACTGGTCGTTATGTTGGTTCCAAATAAACCCGTAAAGTTGGAACCAACCAACATATTGACCAGCTCCAGAGGTCAATGGTTCAAATCCTGCTGGCACAGGCCTGAATTTTTTTCAGGCGTTATTTTCACTACTACTTAAGTGATTATCATGACTGCGAGGGTCGCTTCCATTTTCGTTTCTTCAACCGCAGTTCACATATGTGATATTTTGCATATTTACATTCGTTTTCAACAGGTTTAACGAACGCTTTCCCGACATCATTGCAAGGCGTCATAGAACGGTCGCAAGAAGCAATAAACCAATTATAAAAACTGCATTTGTGAACTAGGATCAAATATGAAAACTGCACTAAGTCCCCAACTTTCGAAACTGTTACCATATAACAGAAACTGCACTACTTTCGAAAACAAATGTAGACGAAATTTTTTTAATACGACAAAAGACAAAAATTCATACCTCTTTTCGTTAAAAGGTATGTTGCAGAAAGATTTCATAACCCAAATTTTACTGGCTTTTAGATAACATCTAAGTGAATGATCCCCTTTTCTTTATATATTCAAATTTCAAGTAAATTTTATAGTCTGAATTTATGACGATAATGAGCAATACCTCTTAAGTTAAACGAATTCTGTGCATAGAAAGAAAAAAGTGAAATTTTTTTACATTACAAAGCATATGTTTGGAACTTTCGTGACTGTTCCCCACCAATTACTTCTCTAAACATCAAATAAGAAGATGAGTCATTGTACCTGCAAAAAAGATATGATAGGCCGATATTTCTTCAGTTGCGCCTGTACTGTTATTTTTTGAAAATAGGATTTTGCGCGCGACCTATAATTTTCGCGTTTCGGATTACGTAATCGAGTCACGCGACTTCTAGGATTGGAATCTCGCTCATTGCGCGCTTTTCTTTTTAATTGTATGGAATAGATTCTAAAAAATCTCGGAAATGTGTTGATTTTTGTATCTCATTCTAGAATAAATTTTTTGGAAGTTCTGGGAATATCGTGTCTCACATTATTAATCACACGCGTGATTATTACATTGTTTACTTTCAAGATATTTCTTCCAAAAACTGGAAGCAGGTTTTTAAATTTGACAATGCTGAAAAAAATTACTTCATAGGAGTAAGTTCTCGAGCATTTGGAACAATGGAATATACAGTGTTAGGGGAAAAATACACAGTTTTCAGAAGACAGTATGTTCCTCTATTCGTAGTTTTTAAGTCATCATTTGCATCCCTAAGTTATGGCTTTGTGCAAGCTTAGAGTCAAGTCTTTTTCCTTCTGATCAATTTTTTCAAATTTTTCACCTCAAAGGGGAAAATTTTTACATCATGATTGTGCTATTAAAAATGACGGTTACCTCACCCATTTAAGAGAAAAAGACCATCTTACTTTTTTAAGGTCGTCCATTGACTGAGTAAAACACAGAAATCCGCTATGTCATCGAGATAAAAGCGCGCCGATTCGCGAGGTACTATGGGCGATTTTATGCGCGGTACAGGATGCGTGTTGCAATACTGAGGAATCAACTTAAAATATCTGACGTTACGCTCTTGACAGTGACGTTTCCGTGACCCCCAAACCTCTTTGGTTTTATTTGTTCCTGTATCTCGAGACTATAACGGACTAAGACAAGAGCAATATACATGAACCAAACCCTTTTAATTAAAGCATTTTGTATGTTTTTTTTTCTTTAGCTCCATATTTCAGAGCCAACCCCTGAACGTACTCAACGGAGCCATAATGAGCAACAGGGCAAGGGTCGAAAAAACCATCCATGTAGGTACTTTTGTCGCCAACTTCCTTCAAAAGACTAAACGTAACCTACGAGCAATCGAATTATGCAAAGAATGTTTGGTTTTACTAAACAACTTAGCATTGGATACAGAAGATCATTTTACCAAAACATACAATTGTAACATTTACATGGTAATGTTCAATGTATACAATGCCATCAAAATGGCAAAAAGCGTAGAAAAATGCGCAAGAAAACTTCTACGCATGATCAAAGACTCACATGCTAAGGAAGAAGAAGGAATCCTCACGTTAACACTGGCAATTAGTTATCACAGGCAAAGAAGGTTTCTCGAGGCAGCGAAACTTTTTAGGAGCGCGATCAAAATCCTGGAGGAAATCGGTGATAAAGAAAAAGAAGCCTTTGCTAACACTAGTCTAGGAATTGTGTATCAATCACTTTGTGAATATCAGAAGGCTAAAGAACACTACCAGAAAGCACTTGCCATCAAATTACGAAAACCACAGCAACTGTGTTGCAATCAAAGAATATGCAGAAATTGGCAATAAATTACGAAAACCTAGGAACTGTGTTGAAATCAAATGGTGAATATCACAAGGCTAAAGAATATTACGGAAATTTAGGCCATCAATATGTTGGTAACAGGGCAAGAGTAGCAAAATTACGAAAACCTTTGTTGCAATTACTTTGTGAATATCAGAGGGCTAAAGAACACTACGAGAAAGCACTTGCCATCAATATGGAAATTGGTGACAGGGCACATGTAGCAGTAGATTACGGAAACCTAGGAACTGTGTTGAAATCACTTGGTGAGTGTCACAAGGCTAAAGAATATTACGAGAAAGCAATTGCCATCAATATGGAAATTGGTGACAGGGCACGAGTAGCTTCAAATTACGGAAACCTAGGAACTGTGTTGAAATCACTTGATAAATATCACAAGGCTAAAGAATATTTCGAGAGAGCACTTTTCATCAGTATGGAAATTGAGGACAGGGCGGGAGTAGCAGTAAATTACGAAAACCTAGGAACTGTGTTGCAGTCACTTTGTGACTATCACAAGGCTAAAGAATATTACGAGAAAGCAATTGCCATCAATATGGAAATTGGTAACAGGGCACGAGTAGCTTTAAATTATAATAACCAAGGAACTGTGTTGAAATCACTTGGTGAATATCACAAGGCTGAAGAATATTTCGAGAAATCACTTGCCATCAATATGGAAACTGGTGACAGGGCAGGATTAGCTTCAAATTACGGAAACCTAGGAACTGTGTTGAAATCACTTGGTGATTATCACAAGGCTAAAGAATATTACGAGAAAGCACTTGCCATCAATATGGAAATTGGTGACAGGGCAGTAGTAGCTTTAATTTACAATAACCTAGGATTTGTGTTGCAATCACTTGGTGAATATCACAAGGCTAAAGAATATCACGAGAAAGCACTTGCCATCAATATGGAAATTGGTGACAGGGCAGGAGTAGCAGTAAATTACGGAAACCTAGGAATTGTGTTAAAATCACTTTGTGAATACCACAAGGCTAAAGAATATTACGAGAAAGCACTTGCCATCAATATGGAAATTGGTGACAGGGCAGGAGTAGCAGTAAATTACGGAAACCTAGGAACTGTGTTGCAATCACTTGGTGAATATCACAAGGCTAAAGAATATCAGGAGAAAGCACTTGCCATCAATATGGAAATTGGTGACAGGGCAGGAGTAGCAGCAAATTACGGAAACCTAGGAAATGTGTTGCGATCACTCGGTGAATACCACAAGGCTAAAGAATATCACGAGAAAGCAGTTGCAATCAATATGGAAATTGGTAACAGGGCAAGCTTAGCAGAAAGTTACAGAAGCCTAGGAAAGGTGTTGCATAAACTTTGTGAATATAGCAAGGCAAAAGAATATTACGACAAAGCACTTGCCATCAATATGGAAATTGGTAACAAGGCAGGAATAGCATCAAATTACTGCAACCTAGGAAGTGTGTTGCTATCACTTGGTGAATATCACAAGGCTAAAGAATATTGCGAGAAAGCACTTGCCATTGAAACGGAAATCGGTGACAGACATGGACAACTGAATAGCTACCTTCTGTTAGGAATAATATTTAATTCCCTTAGAAAATATCGGGACGCCAAAGAAGGTGGCGAGAAAGCCCTTTCTATCGCAATGGAAATTGGAGACAGAGGAGGAGAGGCAAACGCTAATGGACTTCTTGGAAGAGTGCTTTTTTCGCTTCGTGACAATCAGGGAGCTAAGGAATGTTTCGAGAAAAAATTTGCAATCATCACTGAAATCGGTGACAGAGGCGAAGAAGCAAATTGTTATTATGAACTAGGAAATGTGTTTCAACGGCACTTGGCCAAAATGACTTGGCCGAAGAATACTTAGAGAAGGCGCGCTTGATCAGCAACGATGTTGGTAAGATTAAAATGGAGTTTGATGCTATAAATAGTCTTTCCCTCTTAAAGGTTTTGGAATCAAAGTTCCAGGAAGCGGTTTCGTATCTCCACCAGTGTATTGAGAAATATGAAAAATTGCGACATTCTTTACATGGAAACGAGCAGTTTCAAGTATCTCTTTTAGAGAGTACTGGAGCTTTCCCTTACAAGATGCTCGGTAAGATCTTATGCCTAGCCGAAAAAAATCCTCAAGATGCGCTTTACGTTGAGGAACTTGCTCGAGCTAGGTGCTTGGCAGACTCAATGGCAAGAAACTTCACCGTTAAAAGTCACATCTCATCTGATCCGACGTCATGGTTTGGGATGCAAGGGATTTTAAGCAAAGAACATAACTCCACCTTCCTGTACATTTCGTATGGAAGATCGACGGGTTTTGCTTTGGGTTTTGAAAACAAACGGAGACATTCTGTTTCGAATTTCCGAGACAGTCGATGACAAAAGTCTCATTGCCGAAGACGCTTTTAATTTGGATAGCTTTTTTAAAAAGAGTCTCCACCGCTTTGGCATTTTACCCAATTACAAGTGCGAAGACCGATCTTTGAGTGAAACCACGCTAACATCACCTTATAATGAAAGTGAATTAGACTTGCGCGGTGAGGAAGCTCAAGACACCATTAGAAGACTTCAGTTGTGTTCCAAAGTAATCATCTCTCCGGTGGCCGATCTACTCACCGAGCCGGAGATCATCATTATTCCCGAACGCAGCTTGTACCGAGTCCCATTTGCAGCCTTACGTCACCAACCAGGCGGAAAGTGTTTAGCAGAGACTTTCAGGATCCGCATTGTCCCTTCTTTGACGATTCTCAAGCTCATTCAGGACTGCCCAGCAGAGTATCACAGTCAGACCGGTGCTCTGGTTGTGGGTGATCCCAAGGTAGGCAGGGCGCGTTACAGGGGAGAAATCCATAACTTCACATCACTGGACGGTGCAAGAAAGGAAGCAGAGATGATCGGACAACTGCTGGGTGTTCAGCCTTTGTTAGGAGAGCGAGCGACAAGAGAGGCGGTACTTCAAGCAATGAACTCAGTGAGTTTGATACATATTGCTGCCCATGGTAATCCCGACAGAGGAGAAATCGCCCTTTCCCCTCGCCCTACTGCTAACAGTATTCCAGAAGAAGAAGACTACCTCTTGAGGGTCTCTGATATTTCACAAGTTAAGCTCCGAGCCAAACTGGTAATACTCAGCTGTTGTCACAGTGGGCGTGGAGAGATTAAAGTCGAGGGAGTTCTTGGAATCGCACGAGCATTCTTAGCATCCGGTGCACGTTCAGTGCTGGTGACACTGTGGGCCATAGAGGACGAAGCAACAGAGCAGTTCATAACACGTTTCTACAGACACCTTGTTGACGGATTTAGTGCCAGTGAATGTCTTCACCAGGCCATGACATGGCTGAGGAACAACGGCTTTACCAAAGTTTCCCAGTGGGCTCCGTTCATGCTGATTGGAGATAACGTGACATTTGACTTTAAGTCGCTGAAGAGGTAGGTTGTCTTTCCAAACAGCGAGTCACAACTAATACTTTTTCATCTACAGGAGCTAATTTCTGTTAAGATGCCTAGAATGAATTGACGTGTTGGCTTTTATCCGTAAAATATCAGTAGACTTTTTCAACGCTTGTTTTTTAAAAATGCGAAAAAATAAATAGTTTCGAGGGTTCCAAATCTAATAGATGTAAATTCGGTTTCGAATTACATTTATATCAAATATAAGAACGTTTAAGAATTCTGAGATTGACAACTTGGAGTCGTCCCTTACAGTTTCTGATTGGAAAACGGCTGTGGCTTCGAATTATTTTGATAATAATGTGCATAGATTCCAAGTTTTTGTTTCTTTCACTTCAGGAAGGAGGAACCGGACTGTGAGGGATAAAAGTGAAGCATACAAGAAAAAATCGGCGAACGTCTTTGTGGGGACTCCCGTATAATTTTCCATAGCCTGATGCTGCATTGAAAGAAAATTTCCTTGCTGATACTCGACATGAGAAGTTGTGTCAGGCATGTAAACTTTAAGAAGTGTATTATATGTTGTAGTATAAGGGCTTAAATTTCAAGAGGAAAAACTTTTTGAAACTTTTTTTTATCTTGTCTTACGGATGGATAGTTTTTTTTTCAAGATGTAGATAGTAATTATGATACTCAGCTTGTGGTGGTAACACAGTTTTGAAAACTCGAGTCATCTGTCTGAATGCTGGATGGTTTTGAACGAGACAAAATTTAAAGTTCTGATTTGTTGTAGCTTCTGTAAAATTTTATCAAACAGCATTACCACATTTGGTAGACATAGAAATCTTTCCTCAGTCAGTTGTAAATAAGTCGACCCTCGGTAAAAGATGAATTAGAAAAGTTAGAATCTTAGGAGGGTTTAAGTTTCAACTGGGTTAAAAATGTACAGTGCAGATTTGATTCCTGTCTATAGTGATTGATTTTCTACATTCTTTTTACCAGTTGCAGTAGAAAAGCCTTTCAGATTGTATAATTATACTATCTTGAAAACCAGTTGTCAGTGAATCAGCAATTGTAGATCGTACATTGAACTCTAAGGATAAATTTATATCTTGTTTTGTTTAATAGTCAGTATTACCTTTTAGTAAAGGGAGGAAAACATTTCAAAACTTAATTTCCTCTGTCAGTAGTAAGTCAGTTGACCCTTGGTATAAAGTAAGTGAAACAAGTTGGACTTTTTTTTAGGTTTAGTTTCCACGAGGGTCATAAATGTAAGAAACATACAAGATTTATATTTAAAGAGAATTAATCTGCAGATCAACTGATCCATTAACTCCCAGATCAAATTTGTAATTCTCTTTATTGTCATCCATGCAATTCTTATAATGTTGGTTCAGAGAATTTGGTATTGGATCAACTAATTATCCCCAAATTGATATATTTCTTTATTCTCATCACTTCTCTGGTTGATAATGTATTGATATTGTAAGGAGAAATTCTGTCTTGGTCACTCATGGGAGTTAAAGGGTTAACTGATTATCTCATTTTCAAGTATAATTATCATTGGTGACATGTTGCAAATGATTTATTGTCAGTAGTTTTAATAAAGTAACTAAACTGAATCTTGTTCTGTCTTCTTCGTGTTTTTAGATATCACAACAAGCTTTCCTTGTTCTCTGCAAAATCCTTTAAAACTAAAAATCTGGGCTGGGTTGTTCAAAGCTGGGTCAAGATAAACCAGGATTAGTGTGAAATGTGATTTCAGATTTGAAGGCTTTATTAAAAAATTCCATATTATTCTTTTCCTCTATGATGTGATTACTGGATGCTCTGAAAAGAATAGAGAAAGTTTTCCTAGAAAGGCTTTTGTACAAAGAAATAAACAAACCTGGATCAAAATTTAACCTTGGGTTTAAGCCAATCAGCCTTCAAAAGACTCAGCCCTGGTAATCAACACTTTCACTCCCAAGATGTCCTCACAAATTCTCTTTACTGTCAACCATATATCTCTTATGATGCCACTTCAGAGAATTTGATATTTGATCAACTAATAATCCCCTAATCAATGTTTTTCTATATTCTCATCACCTGTCTGCTTCATATTTCATATATATGGTAAGGAGAAATTCTTTCTTGGTCACTCATGGGAGTTTAAGGGCTAATGACTCTTCCCAATCACTTACCCACAAAATGTTGTGATGTTGGGTATGTGAACTTCTACAAATTTGAAAAAGGAAAACCACCACAACTCAAAATGGTTAACAGACGATGTGCACTGAATAGTTAAAGATAGGAACTGGGACTCAGATTACAAGGCTATTCCCAACATCAGTTGCCTTAAAAGTCAGGTGAAAAGTTACAAAAAAGTTGATCAAATTTGGGAAAAAAGTTGACAAAGACCATAACAAAAATAAAGTAGAAGAAGAACAAATCAAATCAAAAGAGCATATCATTTTGAAAATGCTTCATAGGTGTCTTTCAGCAGTCATTTCACCAACTACAAATTTCATGCAGACTTGAATCACCTTGCAAAAATCAGGAAAATTTTTTGTCCTTCTGCAATTCAAAATGATTGTTTGGCAATGATATACTTTCACTCCTTATGAAAGGAGCCCCCCCCCCCCACCCCTCCTCCTCACCCAAACCAGACATGTGGTAGACAAAAAACAAAAAGGAAGAAAGAACAAATTCTACAACTTCTCATTAGTACACTGCCAGTTTATTATTAAACTACTTTTATGAACCATAAGTGTTCCTGATGAAGGGTGCTCACAGACTACACCTAAATGTACCACAGACCCATGCAACTTTTTTTTTTCTTTTAATCTCAAGGTTTTGTGAATGGACAAAAGAGAAAAGAAATCTAATATTTATATACCTTTTTTCTAGATTTGTCATATAAGGAAAAATCTCGGAACTACAATTCACATTATATATATTTCCTTGTAAACAAAAGTCAGGTCCATCCCTTCATTCTAATTCTCTTGTGAAGAAATAAACAAAATACTCCAGTATTTTACATCAATAAAAATAACTTTTTGTACCCAAGGATAAATAGGAAACAATAAACAATATTATATTCTTTGGCTGCAGGCTGTCAGCTTGGAACAATTACCGCAGAGGGTTAAAGTACCAGCAACCTAAACTAGTACAGTAGGTTTCAAACGCAATTGAACATGAAGAACCAATGATAAAAGCAGGCACCTATTTTTCAGCAATCAATTCTCCAAATTCACCCTTTCACTCCCAGAACAGATAAAGATGTAACTTCTCACTATAATATCCATACAGTAATGAGAGTACTTGCACTTATAAGGTTGAGGTTGCTATCTCAATCTTAACCTAATTCTCATAATTAATTTACAATGAAATGTGTAGCAGCTAAAGGGGAGAAGTAACAATCAGATCTTGGGTGTTATAGGGTTTAACACTTCTATTACATTAAACCTGTATTAAACAGACAACTTAATCAGGAATGCAAGTCTCATTTCAATTTGATTACAAATAAAATAATCTATTTTTAACAAATTGATTCCAGTACTTTTTCATTTCATTGATACAAAATAACCAGATAGGAGAGGTTGCTGATCACTACTTCATTTTGAAACAAACAAATTTTAGGTACACAATTCCCTGAATATGAATGTAGTGGACACACACTTATCAAGAGGACACTTACTGAGGGCTTTGTCCATGTCTGCTAAATAGAAGTTTTATAGTAAAATCAACCTAAATCTTATTATTTACCATTGCAGTTCCCGTTTGCTTTATTGTTGCTTCTTGGGTGTCTTTCAGTGGTTGACTCATACCCCCCTCCCCACCCCCCACCCCTGAGAGCACCTTATGATGAGGATGCAGCATCTTTGTGGTACAGCAACGACAGGCATTTTTGTTATCTTTATGCTGTAACGTATCTTAAGGAGGTAACATATCTTGATGGTGTGACATATGATTGCAGTGTGAAATATGTTAATGGCGTGATGTGTAATAATTGTAGTGTGATGAACCTTTAGGGTTACATGTCTTTGCGGTGTGACATATCTTAGTGGTGTGACACATCTCAGAGATGTGACATGCACTCATTCTGGCGTAACATATCTCTTTGAAAAGATACAACTTTGAGGTGTCACTTACATGTTACACATACCATAATAGTTTAACACCTCCTAATAAACTTATGTATGACACATCTTTGCTCCCTTTGTGCATGAATTAAAAAAAAAATGGTATATGCTACATGCATCCTTAGGCCATGAAAATAAGTCTTCAAGTTGTTTAATACCTTGGACAATTAAAGCTAACCTATTAAGGTTGTACATTAAACAACTCTCTTAAGAGAAATCATTTTTCTGTTCTTGCACACCATCCTGCCAGAAACAACATTCCCTTTCATTCCCTAAACCCAAATGTTTCCATACAGAACCTAAATTTAAAGTAATTTGTGGGAAAACAAGCAAATATGTATGACATGCTCAATTACCACTGATTTAGTGGTGTAATCTTTGATGATACCACTCTTGTGGTCAACACAAATGCCACAAATTGAAGGAGTGTTGTACTCATGAAAGTAGCCTCTAGTGGAGAGTGGAGTAACAATGTTTCATTTAATCTTCTCACTCTCAAGATCTCAAAAGTAATTCTCACTACTGACTGCCACAAACTTTATCTAGTGAAAGTAATGAGAATTTTATACATTCAATCAAATTCTTTCACTTATTTGATACATTTTTTTGTTTTCTCATTTTTGTAATTCTCACCATCTGTCTCCTCAATAGTGTATTTACACTTCAAGGAGAAAATACCTCTTGGTCATTCCTGAGAGTGAAAGAATTAAATGACTGCAAGGGAAGAAAAGGGGACTTAAAATAGAAATAAAAAAAGGTGAATGAATATTTTCACATTAGCAAAAGTGTCTCCTGTATGAAATAGAATTTATGAACAACTGCACTAGTCACTTTCACATGAGTCATTCAGACCCATCACCCTACCCCCTATTCAATCCACTTTGCCCCACCCCCCCTCAACCCACCCCCCTGGCCCATCCCATCCCACCTTTCGGAAGACAGAATCAAAAATGTCATGTTAATAGTTCATTCCAAAAGTACTATTTGTGCAAGAAATTTATGTTCAGGTCGTAACAGGTTATGTCCCTCCTTCCACTTGTTGTTCTGCATCAGCAGTTGATTCATAAGTTGGCTTGCTAGGGAGCATGGGATACTCCACATGAGAGGCTGTTAGCATGTTGTTGGGTTGTACTGCAATCAACTTCGATGAGGAAAGTGACAAGAATCCTAAAAAAACAAAATCAATTAAAATACTTTCATATCAGTTTCCTACAAACTTCTACCAGTCTGTGGATCATTGAGTATTCTCATAACCTGCTTGTAGTACAATGTCTGGATATTCTAAGAAAATTAAATGTTAATCTCTTCTGGGAGTTGAAGGGTTAAAGAAAAGTAATAGGTCAAAAGATTAACCATTTAACTCCCAAGATCTGATCGTTAATTCTCCCCTCTAGCTGCTACAAATATCTTTGTAAATTAGTTATAAGAATTTGGTGTAAGATCAAGATAACAACTGCTACCTGATGAGTTTGAATATTCTCATTACCTGTTTGCTTGATAATGTAAAGGTATTATAGGGAGAAGTTTCATGCTGATCACTACAGGGAGTTAAAGGGTTAATGATTATTGACATACCAGGGAACAGGTCAGCATTTGTAAGTAGCAGCTGCTCGTCTGACTCCTCTTGTTTTCGGTCTGAGGTGATGTAATATACACCGATAAACGACAAAATGCACCTGCAAAAGTTGTTCATAACCGTTTAAAATCTGAGCCAATCAATTCTACAAAATAGATCTTCATAATCTTCATTTTAATTATTAAAACAAAATACTGAGAAAAGTATAATATTAACTGTTCCATAGTCATAGTCAAGTTGGATGCCAGGATTTTGCAGAATGTACCTTGAAAAGAGAAACTTTGGTTTCAACAAAATACAGGAACTTACCCAAAAAGAAACATAAATATTTCCAGAAATGTAAGACCATAAAATTCTTTATACAAAACAATACCTGAAATCAAAAGAAAAAAATAGTAAGCTATATAACTGCTAGCTTTTTAGCTCAATTATCTCTCTTATCAACTCCCATGAGTGACCAAGACAGAATTTCTCCTCACAATATCAATACAGTATCAAGCAAACAATTGTTAGTCATTCCAATACCAAATTCTCCAAATGAACATCACAAGAAATTTATGGCAGACAGAAAGGAGAATTTCTAATGAGATCTGGGAGTGATTACTTTATACTTCTTTCTGTTACTCACCACTTATGATAGCACTAATTGTAAATAAAACAAAGTTGGTGGGAACTACAACAGTCGCATCAAAAGACTGCATGGCTCTGTTGAGAAATCTGTGAAAAAAAAAAAAAGCAACAAAACCTTAGAGTTTACCCAATTCCACTAATATCAAAGATTTATTTCCCATAAAGTTTGATTTTAATAGACCATCCATTTTGATTTCAAAGACTTTTTCTGAGGATGTTTTAGCCCCAAAAATTTTTTCCAAAACTTTTTGGAGACATTCAAAAGAATTGTGGTACAACTTTCTTCCCTGTGCTTTTTCTGACCCAAGAATTGGAGGTTGCAAAGAAGCACAAATATTTAAAGTGGCTCTCCTTATCATGTGCCTTGAAGTTCCAAAATATGTCATGTATGGCTGCAATAGTGCAAGTTTTGTGTTAGCCATGGAAAACTGATCAGGAAGGTTTCTCTCGTGTGAGGTCAAAATTTTTTATCCACAAGATTGTCATTTACAAAGAATGAAAGTTGATTGTTAAATTTGTGTTTTAATACTTACTTGACTTGTGCGATAGCTGTGGTAATCATGACAATAAGCATGACGTAAAACAAAGGATGCCCCAACTGACTGTTTCCACCCAGTGTTATGTTTATCATGGATGATACAGCTTTTGCCGATATTACAGTCAAAGAACCTGTCGTGAAATAAAAGAACAAAAACAGTCATATCAAACAGTCAATAAAATGGCAACAGGGTGTTACATGTAGATCCCTTTATTTAACCCTATATGGCCAAACATCAGTCTGCATTTTCTCCCTACTCCTCTCTCTGCATTCATTTTGGTATTAAGGAGAATTTGTTGAATAAACCAGAGCAATCAAGGAAAATCAAGCAATCGGTAGGAAATTACATGTATTGAAAGATTTCTTCCAAACACTCCATTTTATAATTCTCCTGAACTCAATTTTTGCATTTCAGAGTTGTAATGGAATCTTGAAAACAACACACTTAAACATACAGTAACAATTTTTTTTGGTTGCAATATAGAAAAAGTCAGATAAATGAGTTTGTGACCTACAGCCAACTTCCTTAAATTTGGCCCTTTGGTAGAAATTGTAAAGGGTTTGCAGTATTCTTCAGAAGGCCCTGGTGGACTGTATTTTAGAGGGCCACTGCTGTTGAAACACTAGCTGCTTCAATCAGAGAAAAAAAAATTAAACACCTTTCTTAACCTGAAATCAATCTTCACCTTTGGCAGCTACTGTTTTTTAATTTCTTTTTTTAATCTATTTATTCTACTCTGGATGCTGTGGTCTAAAACAATTTTCAACTACCCAAAAGAAAACAAAAAATATAATGATAAACATTTGTAGCTTGTTTAAAAACTGAGTAATATTTTTTACAAGCTATAACTACTGGTAAATGGTGCAATTATGTACATGAATCATTTCCACCCTAACATCAGTATGCATATTCTCAGTACTGTACTAAAATACAGTTCCTAAGTTGCTTACAAAGAGAATTTGTTTAACAATCAAGAGCCTCTCTGGATGATGATCATTTCCCTTATTCTCACAACTTGAATGTTTGATTCAGGGGTGATACTGTAAGGAGAAATTAGATGCTAGTCACTCTTAAGGGTCTAAAGGTTAAACTTACCTAACAATGCTACCAGGAGTAGGAAGACTACCACATTTTCCAAGTCATAACGCCATTGAGCAATGAGTAGAATACAAAACAGAGCAACTTCCAGTGCCTGGAGGAAAACAATAAAAGATCTGAAGTAAATTATTTGCGTCACTACACTGTATGTAACAAAAGCTGCTGATCAGATTGCAATGATCTTTAACTTGCTTAACCCTATAACTCCCAGAAGTGACCAAGACAGAATCTCTCCTTATAATATTAATACAATATCAACCAGATAAGTGATGAGAATAAAGAAAAATATCAATTTGGGGATAATTGGTTGATTCAATAGTTAATTCTCTGAACTATCATGATAACAATTGCATGGTTGACAGAAAGGAGAATTACAAATTTGATCTGGGAGTTTAAAGGGTTAAATTTAATTTCTCTAATTGAATATGAAGAAAACAAGTTGTTGAATAAAGGTTTGCCTGGTTAACTAACAACATTGTAGAGCCATGGAGAGATGACATTTATGTAGCATATTGTGTGGCTTCGTGTCCAAAATATAAGTGAGACTTGAAGAATACTCAACAGAGATTTATTTACTGACAATATATCTAAACTCGGCCAGGTAGCCTAACAATCCTGTGCCACACAGGTGTTACATGAATACGAGACTGACAAGTGTGACAGCCTGACTTCTTACATCCTACACCACTGTTTACATAAACTTTCAATGAAATATCTCCTGTTGCAAGCATGCTTTTGCACTTATATGAAATACACATACTAAACCTTTTTTACATTTCTAGAAAATTCTAAGTAGCAAATGTTACTGTTCCTCTGTTAACACAGATTGTTTAGGAATTGGTTTCCATGGGTCAATCATCAGATGTGACAGAAGTCTGCTATGGGTCTACAAAACACAAACCATCTTAAACATTTATGACATGTCAACCAGAAATGAAAAGGCTCACCAGATAGACAAGGAAAGGCCACTGACGCAAATAGGATGCCAATTCTTGTCCAGTCAATTCTGAAAACTCCTGTTGGATAAATAAATATCATATTGATTTAAGGAAATAATTAAGACATAATTGGATAGCTCTTAGACTAAAGAAGACTTTACAGATGTCAGAAAAAATTGCAAAACGTTTAAATATTGAAATATCTAAAATTAACTCATAGTGAACACTGTACCTTGGTTGAAAATGTTATGAGCAAAAAGGCACCAACAATTGCAAGGGTAACACCTAAAGATGACAAAGAGTGAAGATTGTTACTGATTTGTACTTGTTGATGAGAACAGAATTAATTATTTTACTCTTTCTGGTATAAATGAAAACTTGTTTTCAGTAACATTCATTTTTAAACATTGATCATGCTCAATTCATTCAAAACTTGCATATAAAATTTAATAATCAAAATTACCAAAAACATCTTGGTATCGCACTCTTTCCCTCAGAAAAACAACAGCAATGATGGCATTAGCTGTAAGAAAAGAGAGATTCTAATTAAACAATGGTAGCTTTGATCACAAAATCAAATACATGTACATGACTTCCTGAAAGTTGCAAAGTACAAAGTAAATGAATGGTCACAGTAATATAGAGTAGAAGGTATGGCTAACAAATTTTATACTTCAATTAGACTGTTTCTGCAGTCATATCTTGAGTTTTTACCAACAAGTATTTTGGTCAAAAGCACCCTTTAGATGAAAATAATATATATTTTTTTTACTGAAGTATCTTTGTGGGCTGTACTCTTAAATTCTTGAATCTGAGTGGCTAATCCTGTGTCAAAACCCTTCCAGCTTTTGTACAAAGGCTAGATCCAGAATTTTTGTCTTGCTATTTGTGGCAAAGCAGAAAATAGCAAACTAATAGAACAACAAATAAGTTTTTTACTGGTCTAGTTTGGCCCCTATATGGAAAAAATGCACCCTTGGTCTTGAGTTTGGCCCTTGGCAGTTGACCTTAAGCAAAACTCAAGACCTAGGGCACAGATCAAATGCCAGACCTTCCTCCTGATAAATAACAATTAATACAGGACTGTTGTGTGAAAATAAACTGGCTACCAGCTATTGTATACAGCCCTGCATATATAACAGATTAGAAAGATATCCAAACACATACCTATTACAGTGGTAGTTCCAAGTGGAGCCACAAGTGATGCTGGCGAGAAGCCATAAGCTGAGAAGTTTCCAATTTCTCCAAGAACCATTAAAATAAGACCAACCCTAAATTCATCAAAAACAAGTTAGCATTTTTTTAATTTGCCCTTTACACCCTAACATCTATTAGTATTTAGATAATAAGCTCAGTTATGCACGCATCCTGACTGGTTCTCAATTATGATCTATTGGAGGACAGGTGCATAGATGATGTCATCATCAAAAATTTTTTTCTGTACATTTTAATTCTTTATTCTATAAAACAAATAGATTCCAAGTTGCCATGCATCTGTTCAGTAATAGATCACAGAGGACGTCAAAATGTGGTAAGACCATCAGTGAAACACTCGGCTAATATTTGTTCTTACCACATTTTGACGTCATCTGTGGTCTATTACTGAACAGATGCATGGCAACTTGGAATCTATTTGTTGAGCATATTCTCCATACTGTTCTCTATACATTTCCTAAGGTGGTGCAAGGAGAATTTGTCTAACAATCCTGAGCTATCCTTACTTGCTGACCCTTTCCTTTATCCTTGTGACCTTAATGTTTGATTTAGGGGTGATAAACAAATTGGATGCCAGTCTCTCTTTGAAGTCAAAGGGCTGATAAGTGTGAAGAATATTTGAACAAAATTCTCTATCTTTCTTCTTTGATAATTCCTTTAATGACCAACTGTAGCATGCTTGGTATAGTTGGCCAGAATTCCCATATGCTTAATATATAATTTTCAAGACACTTAGCACATTTCATCCTGCATTACAGCATAAATCTAAAAAATTTCAAATAGCTTGAATAAACAAATGTTTTTATCATATTGACTTATCTGTGCTTTTAATTTCAAAATTAATACACATGTACACTGTAGTATTGTCACATTGGGTGTGAGGTGAAAATTTTCACCCTTTCAATAAGACAACAATGAGATGACACCCAATGTGCTATTCTTAAAAGATCTCTCTACATCTTCATTAATAATTCAAATTATAACTGAGACAAAGATTGAGAAAAACATACCACCATATTTTACTTTTCAAATAGTGTGTTTCACTTTTCTCTTCTGCTTGGCGCAAATGGGAATATTTCTATGACAAAAGTAAACACTAATTGTAAATTTTCTAAATGTGTAGGTCTGAAAGGCAATTTCACATGAATATTACAGTTTAATGTTATTCAGTTGTTGTAAATTATAAATGAGCTTCACAAATTCATCCAGTGAAGATTTCAGAATTCAAAAGTACTTTGGCAACAATGACATGTAACAAATGGAAAAGCTTTGTTACATAGGAAGAGCTTTCATTGTCCACATTTTCATTCTAAATTAATAAAGCAAACCCTTGTCTTGTACACCGCAAATGAAAAAGGGATTTGAAATGTATGCAGTACTGAATTCAAAAGAACTAATAATGTCTCATATAAGGATTTATTTTTAGAAAAAAAATGCATCCTTTTTCAAGAGAGAAGTTACTTGGTTATTTGAATTTTTCACCAAAAAAAAACACTGATTTCTGAAAAAGAAATAAAAATTTTGGGAAGACAGTGCAAATAAAACTACAGTTCAAATGGTTTGAGACCTCTAGATCAAGGAACACTTGTTCACAAAAAAAGGTCTATAAAATTACCAGACACTATACTTTGCTAATACAATTCCCAAAAAACTGACTCTTTACTAAGGCCACTCCATAAAGATCAGATTGCATCTAAGTCTGAGCAAATCACAGAAATTGTTTTAAGGATATCCATGTAGAAAAAAATACACAAAACTTTTGAAGAGCAGTTTGATTATTATAAGATTAGTATTCCATTGTGGTATTTACAACTATTCATTAACAATCAGCAATAAAACCTACACAGTGTATCAAACTTTAAAAACCAATTCTTCTATATTTCTACTGGTCAGGGCTGGAAATAATGACCAGTCTACGGACAATATTAGGTCAAATATACATGAAGGTTTAGTCCAGTTAACTCCTTGGATGACCACACATTTCCTCCGATTGTTTACATAAGTAAAGAAAAATTTAATTCCAAGCTATGTTCAGGTTTTAAATATGGGTGTATCATTTATCTTGCATTGAGTTGGAGGCTACATGTAAAACTAAAGCATGGTAAAGTATTTACACATATTTCATAAAGGAGAGGGGATTTATAGAGATATAATGTTGTGGATATTTTTCCAGCCAAAAATAAGTTGTCCCTTTAAAGCAAGAGTAGGTTAGACCACATAAATTGACCAGTGCTGGTTGGAAATTTTTTCACGCCTTGCTGTTAGACCTGAGTTGAGTAATCATCACTCAAATCCAACACTTGCATCTAAAATTGAAGAATGCATGCGTGTGTACATGTCTGAGAGAAATTCATTTTGGAGAGCTTTAATTATTTATAATCTTAACCCCAAAGACTACTTAAAATAAAAACACTCTCAATCTACTGACCTGTATATTCATTGAAATGCTGATAAGGAGATTTCCAGTGATTGCTAGTGCTGCTCCAATGAAAATATTCTGTAAAAATAAAATCATTATTCAAAATAACAATTTTAATAATACTTAATTCAAAAGCCATTCTGGTTGGACAACAATTTAACAAAATATCTGATCAACAATGAAAAAAATTCAAGAAAGAACCACTTCAAAATTTATCTCAATGAAGAAAAAGATGGAAAAAAGTTGCAAATCTTTTAATTGAAAATACTTTTCCTCAAAGTCTGAAGAGATTAAAAAATTTATCACATTTCAGATAATACATTGATTTTTTTTAAACCCATAATGTCTATAGTACCTCGCATCTCACAATATTGAGTAAAAATACCAAATTTTTAAACTCACTTTAGAGTGGCTTATGAAATGAAAATTAAATTTAAAAGCTTCGAATTCATGACAAGCAAAACAAGGTGTTCCTAATAATATCTTTGCAAGAATAAAAAGTTTCAAACCTTAAATATTGCAGTAAGATTTTACGAAGCGGAAAAAAATAGTGTCACCGCATTAGAGAATGCAACATTTGCGATGGAAAATAGGTGAACTCAGCTCATTACATCCAAAACCTTTTTCGCAAAACAAACAGAATGAAATGGATAGGAATACAAATTTGTTATTTCCTAGTTCGGACATGGAGCAGGTGGAATTATTTGAAAGAGAAACATCACTTTTTTCACAACGAGAAAATAGATACAATACGTTAGTTATTCCGACTACAAGTTAAGACTATTGTGCTGTACACATTCCCCCAAGGAAAATGCGATCACAAAAAAGCTTAATTCAACATCGCTACGCGCGGGAAAGACGGTGTCAAAATTTGTCAAGCGTGTACAAAGCAAAACACGCGTCAAATGCAGTGTCAGTGAGAACGGATGTGTTTTATATTACTTTTTGCAGTACCAACAAAATTGTGACATTATTTCGCTCTCTTTTGAAAAAAAGTAGTGTGTCTTCACTACGACCTAGTCAACAATCCCAGAAGAATAAACTATGCTAAAGATAAACTGTGAATTTAATTCTATTTTTCGTTTGGCTCAGTGATCCTCGATCGGAGAACTCTACAATAAAACGAGAGTGTGCATGATCTAGCTGTGAAATACTTTCACGCTGGCGGTACAGCAATAAAGCTTGTTGTCCAAATCACAAAAGGATTGAAGAAGAACGATTCAATGTGAACAACATTCTATCTGTCGCGGATCGGTCGCTAGAAGGAATAAAGTTGAGTTCATGAGTTTGTTAGTTCAGGTTTTTGAGGGCCGCTTGTAACGGGACAAAAGCACTGTAGATTAGATTTTAACATTTTCTGCTAAAACACTACTATAATAGATGCTAATCCGGCAAAATTTTGAACCATCTTGATCATAGATCTAGATAAATAAAAATATACAACACACCTTTGACGAAAGGCCTTCGGAGCCAGAAGTTTCTAAGGATACCATTTTCAAGTACATTCACCATTTGGCGTCGTAAAAATTAGAAATATCAGCGACAAAAACGCGTCGAACCCAAGCACATTGTGTACCCGTGCTGAGGGTGAAATTACGACTGTTAGAGAGGAGCTACAGAGCGAGATTTCTTGCGATCACAGCGAACAAAACGTCTTGAACAGTCGCATTCAAAAGATACCGCATACAAACCTGCATAAATTTATAACTACTATTCATTCTCATTCCCCTCTAGAGTTCGCACAATACTCAGTGCTTCCTTTTGCCAGGCTGCTAAGCTAACCCAGGGTAGCGCGTGAAAATAAAGAATAGAATATTTCCCAAGATTTTTAATCAGACGAACGCTTTCAATTTAATACATCGTAAGATTGATGTGAGTAAGCTTGTGACATCTTGTTACCATACTGTCTAGAAGTCAAGTTGAGGAGTTATTCTTTTCCCTCTGAACTTCTACCCAGCTCTGAATTCTTAAGACCATAGATCATAGGGATCACATGACGAAGAGTATGGCGAAATCTCTGTGTGAGGGTTGTCCCATGATATGAGTCATACCCAAATGGTTTCTGAGCATATTCATATTTATTTTTAAAAACACAGATACGGAGAATTAAACTGAAAAAATATGGGTGTGCAAAAAATGAACTTCATGCCTGGAAAATATTTGTAGATAATTTTCCAAGCATAGTCCTAGACATGGTTTTCTCGCAAAATGAAATCACTGAGATTATATTTGTCTTCCGATTGGTCAAAAACACATCAATCTCTGATCTCAACTCACAATCTGAAAGAAAGAATACACAAAGTTCCAATATAACCATACTATAACCATATAATCAGGTGGGATAATTCTAAAATTATCACCACTAATCGGCGTTACCACCAGCGCCTTTGTTTGGAGGCTTGGCATATTAACTCCGCCTATGCTCCTTTAAATCGTGACGATGGCGGTTTGCTTCCTGACGCCTATTTACACCTCGTCAGGAAAAAAGGCTGCTAATTAGTGATCATATAAAAGGACCTCTTGTTGCAGCGTTTCGATCACCCCTAATGAAGGCACCAGACAGGAGTGTCGAAACGTTGGGTCTATGAATTGTAACTTCTTCGGTTACATTCATTAAATCTGTAAACCAGAGTAGCATCAAACCATGTCTGATTGTCCACCTGGTTGCCGTGTGAACTTTAATATATATTTTAAGTTCCAATATGTCCTTTCCTACCCCTCCCTTGACATTAGCCGCTGTCACTAGCTTACCCATAACTCTCAGCGAGTTTAAGTCGCCATCTTTAACTCTCGGGGGAGGATCAATTTCGGTTTGGAGAATGCCGTAGATAAAGGATTTTCTATCGGAATTCCACCAATATCGCCTTTCTTTTGGCTACGTATAGAGCTAGTATCCAAAATGTTCGAAAAGAACCTCACGGATCTTGTCCGTGGAATAAGGAACAACAAAAGCAACGAGGTATATTAAGAACAGGAATGATGCGATTTCTCCTCACATGAGCATTGTTGCTCTCTACACGGACGACGTGGCATACTGTTCATTCAGTTTATGTTGATCTTAATTATACAACCATAATCATTGAGCTCGTAAGGGTTTTGATGTCGCTTGGATGGCTATTATAAGTTTACATTTTTGGCAGATGAGGATATGTGAAAATTAAAAAATGTGGCGATCAATTGGTGAATTAACTGGTTCAATTCTTCTCAATGAAACTCATTTCATTCTGGTGTTTGCTTGATGCCAAAGAAGATTAAGTAAGATCCATGCGCGGAACTTAAATTAGATATCGATTCTAGGCGAAGCGTGTGTCAGTAGAATTTCAGTTATATTTTACACAAGTCCGAACAATTTGACTCGAAACGTATTCCTAACAGGAAGTATATTTTTTGTTGATTTTACAGGCTAAATATATTGCTGCCTGTCTGGATGAAATCAAACAAGAATTGAGACAGGAGAATGCTGCGGTTAAAGCCAACGCAGTGGCAAAACTCACTTATGTAAGTAAAACTGTGTACAAGTACATGAAGCTTTCAGTTTGATTCCCCTGAGGTATTGATTCAACCTTACTCATTTGTGTAATGAAATCTATTTTAATACAAATTATACTGAAATCTATTTTATTACAAATCATGATTGTTTGTGTCAATTATACATAATTCGCTTTTTAGTTTATATATGGTAATGCCCTGTAATTTATCTTAAAACAAGAAGTTATTGAAAGGGAGATGTTATTCATTTGTCACCCATGAGGAGTAAAGAAAAATTCTGAGCTTGGCAAGAGGATTTGAATTTCAGATTTCATGGTTCAGTGCTCTATTGAATAAGCTGTAGAAAACTATTTGGTGACCTATACCATATGAAAGATTTGTGTACAACAAGGTTCTTGCATACTGCAAGAATAGATCAGACATATTCAGGGCATTGTTACTGTAGATACTATGATTTGGAAATATAGTAAATTTTGAGCTCAGTGTGTATTCAGTAGTCACAAGAGCGGAACTTATCAAAATCTTAGTCATCCATGCAGACTATAGAGAACATGTTGTTGAGCTTGGTGATATTGGTGTGTTTTATCCATAACAGGATATCATTTGCACTGATGCGAGGTGTTAGGGATAATTTTCAATATATGCCCCTCTTAGATAAGTGCCTCTTACCTTGCCCTGTTATTAAATAAGAAGTGATCACGATTGCTGAATGAGTTACTTGTGTAGTTGTAGTATTGCAAGGTAATTTTGTATCATCAACTGAGTTGATAATGTAAATTAGCCACCATAAAGAGTTTCAAAACAAAGTGTTTTTGTTTTGAAAGTTTTGAGCATTAGCCCTTGGTCTTTTGCTCTCACAAAAGGCTAACACACTAAGTATCAGCACTGAAACTCTCTACAGTGGCCAATTTACTTAATCAACTCACTTGATAATACTCAATTACCCTGTTATACTCCCCATTGAAGTAGCACCACAGTTTCTTGAAGAGCCCTCAAGTACACTACCTGGTCTTCTCCTTTATTTGAAGTAAAAGTTAAAGGTGCCTGTTCAAATATTTATTTTCTGACTGTTTTCCTACTTTTTGTTCTAATAGCTCCAAATGCTGGGATATGACATCAGCTGGGCTGCATTTAACATAATTGAAGTCATGAGTTCTTCTAAGTTTACATACAAGGTATCATTATTATCTATATGTAAACCCTAAGGAATATAAATTAAATCAATTTGGTTTTGATTGTAGTGAACATCAGTTGATAAATGTAGGCTGTCACTACTAAATGTACAGGTACATATAGAGTAAGAGACTGAGGTTGTCAAAATGTCTTAGATGAATTTAACCCTTTACCTTCAAAGATCTTAATAGTAATTCTCCTTACTGTCTACCAAACAGTTCTCATGATGTTTGTTTGGAGAATTTAGTAGTGCATCAACTTACATTCTCTTAATTTATACTTTTCTGTATTCTCATCACTGGTCTGTTTGATATTGTATTTATAGTTTAAGGAGAAATTCTGTCTTGGTCACTCATGGGAGTTAAAGGGTTAAGGACTAGATGATTGATGTGGAGATGTGATTAATATGTTGATAATGTATGTTAATAATGTATCTTAAAGTTTTTTTTCTTTTTTCAGAGAATTGGTTATTTAGCAGCATCGCAATCATTCCATGAAGATTTGGATATCCTGATGTTAACCACAAACATGATCAGAAAGGTGCTGCTAATGTTTTTTGCATCATTTGAACAGCAATGGTTACTACAATGGTCATCCTTAAGGAGTTTACTCACTTTTCTATATTTATTGATTGGTTGGTAGAGATTTGAACTGTCAGTGTCAAATCAAAGTGTTCTTAGTTTTCAAAATCTCAGAGTAAGGGTAATTCAAATTTAAGGCTAATGTTGCTCTTAATGCAATAATCAACAATCATTCACCAAAGTGGAAGTAAAAAGTGGTGGATAGAATCTAAGTCGCCAGGTAGCAAGGTAAATATCAATCTCTTTCACCACCACTGAGGTGAATACTTGTTTCAGTATGTACTACACAACTACCAAAAAATTATTTTTTTTTCTTTCAATATACTAAAAAATGGTTGGAAATTGAACTTTTAATGCAAATTTTTGCACATCAAACTATGTCTCAGATTGTCCATCCTGGTTGCCACTTATCAATTTTAATAAACTAATTATCGTTATTTTTCATGAGCTTTTTATGAAAAAACCCTTAACAAAAATTCCTGTTTGAGGACCAAATGTTATGGTGTGAGCAGGGTCATACAAAGCCATAGGGTTCTTCAAGCTGAAAGCTAAGAGGAAAGGGAGAAAAGAAAGAACATCAGTCCTATGATAAAATGATTCTTGACTTAGGTGGGTCAGGTGGGTTAGAAATATTTTTGGCACTCAGTCATGACACAAACCCTTGCACTGAACTTTTGCTGAAGCGTCATGACCTCAAGCCAAATATTCTGGTATTCAGCCCTTCCAATCAGTCTTAAGTACTTATTATTATTCTTGCAACTTTCAGGACTTGTGCAGCATGAACATGTATGATTCTGGTGTATCCTTGTCTGGTTTTGCTTGTTTTGTGACTCCAGACTTGGCAAGAGATTTAGCTAATGATGTTATGTCATTGGTGAGTTTTATATGATTATAGTAGAATTTTGGTGTATGCATTTTGATGTTGGAACATGAGAAATAAGACTAAGAGTTAAAAAAATTAAGGAAAAATAAGGTAATACATGCAAAGTAAACAACAGTTTGTTTAGAGAAATTAAACTTAAATAATTATGTGACTTAATTGTTAGATATGTTGTCTTTCAAATTTTGTACCTCCCCCCCTCCCCACCTCCCCTCCCTCCTTCATAAACCATATGCTGTGTTTCCTGAGAACAAGTTAGCCACAAAGTCAAGTGTCATTAGATTTTATGTCATTAGGCAAACTTTTTTTGTTAACTTAAAATTATTTTTAACTTTTTTTTCATCAGCTTGTCTCAACTAAGCCTTACATCAGAAAAAGAGCTGTTTTGCTTATGTATAAGATATTTCTCAAGGTAAGGGTGTATAAATTAATTAATAATTTTCCATAAAATGTCAGTGTCAGTTGTAAGCTCTTAACTTATTGCTATTAACCTGAAGGAAAAAAAGTTCATTTGAGTGTATAATCTTAAGGCATAACTGGTCAGGGCTAAACGGAGGGTGGGGGCACCTCTTTCTCTTTCTCAGGATGCTTTATCATTATGATTATTACAATAATGAGAAATTTATTAAGTACAAATTGTGGGCTGTAGTTATATCTTTGTCTGTCTGCCTGTTCATTTGTCTGTGTTTCTTTCTGTTTGTCTCTGTGTTTGTCTCTTTGTTTGTTAGTGTCTGTTGTTACATGTGTGTGTATTGTTGGTATATCTGTCTATTTATCTCTTTGTTTTTTTTGTCTATCTATCTGTCTGTCTGTTTGTCATCAGTTGCATGTAACTTCGCTTCCTGATGGTCAGTCTTTCTCTGCATCTGTACTTCTCAGTTTGTTTGTCTTTCTTCTCATCTATAGATCTGTTTCAATCTATAATGCCTGTTTTCCTGTCAGTCTGCCTGCACGATACTGTGTATGTCCATCTTACAGTATCAAGTCTGCTTTACATTTTTGAGAGAGCTTAATATTATTTTCACAAATGTCAAATTTAGTTTCCTGAAGCCCTAAGACCAGCCTTCCCAAGATTAAAGGAAAAGCTTGAAGATGGAGAACCTGGTGAGGTGTTACTACATTTAATAACCATGATAGTGAATGTAAATAAGAGTGATGTATAAGTTGAAAACAGGAAACTATAAAGGACATGTCAAAGGTCTTGCAATGATTTCATGAGCAGATAGTAACCAAGTCAAATCAAAGAGTTGGGAGAAGCTGGGCAAGGGTGGTTTGTTTTTAAGATAAGGACCTTCCTGGCATCAAAATTAACATCTTATGATCTGTATAAGTTTTGGGGAGAAACTAGTAATAAACAACTAATGCTGATCAACAATTAAATACAATTTTCATGTAACTATACTTCAACACAATCCAAAATTGCTCTTACTTGGTTCTGCTTCAGAACATAACTGCATGAAATGAAAATAATGCTATCATTATGACCATTTTGTTACATACAATGTAGTATTAGGTTTTAAAATTATACTTTTATGAAATTATTTGCCTTGATACAGGGATTTGATCAGTACACAAAATTCCATTAATTTAGCAGTAGAAAAATGCTGTGATTCATGACTGAATTGGACGGTAGTCACATGAAATCTTGTTGTCATGTTTCAGTGTTTCATTTTCATTGGCTGAGAAAAATGTATCATTTCAACCATAAAATTACGTTATTCATGATAAATCACATTGCTGAGAGCCAAGCAAATCACAAGAATTCTCTGTCGGTGATTTCATGATAGATGTTATGGGACTGAGTGGAAGTCAACAGTAAATTACATTAATTTTGTGCCATTCATCTTGTCTCCACTACAGGTGTACAGTCAGCTGCTGTGAATGTGATTTGTGAGTTGGCTCGAAAAAACCCCAAGAATTACCTATCACTGGCTCCTTTGTTCTTCAAACTCATGACAAGTTCCACTAACAACTGGATGTTAATCAAGATCATCAAACTGGTGAGTAAAATGCAGAAAAATAATTATATTTCTTACAAAAGGTTTTCCTTACATACTGAGTTCAAGGCAAAGTCAGAATTTTTTTTACTTTTTACCTCAGTAGTTTTTGATGACTTAAATGCCTCAACCATTTCACTTCCAGGATCTGATTCCTAATTCTCCTTCTTTCTACCATAAATTTCTTAATAGAAAAGTTTGGAGAATCAGGTTTTTTATCATGATAACACCCTCAAGCTGATAAGATTACTTCAAGGATCTGATCCTTAATTTTCTCCCTCCTTGCTACTAAACATTCTTTGTAAACGAGCTAGGAGAATCTGTTGTTTCATCATGGTAACACCCTCAAGCTGTCAAGTCTGTATGTTCTCATCATGTTGTTGATGTATTGCTATTGTGAGAAGATATATCACTCTCAGGAGATTAAAAGGTATCTGTGTTTTTGACTGAAACATTAGTTATCTTCCATTTTCTTCCTTTGTTGTAGTTTGGTGCTCTTTGTCCTCTGGAACCAAGATTGGGAAAGAAATTACTGGAACCTTTAACAAACCTTATCCATAGGTACATTTAAAACTTTCACCTTGCATAACTTTTTTTCCTAGTTTTTTCTTTTTTTAATTTTTTCATGCAATTGAGTTTGCTGACTGTGGAGTTGGCAGCTGTAACCACCAAGAAGGGTGTACTAATCCTAGAAAAAACCTGAATGGATTGTAGTACAAAGCCTTATAAGTGGCAGTTAAGACATTCAGTTATGACCTTTTTCAATAAAACCAGGCTAATCTCAGATATCACTGTTATCAATTTTCCCTTGCAGCACTTCTGCCATGTCGCTACTCTATGAATGTATTAATACTGTCATATCAGGTGAGACTTAGATTATGAGTGGGTTATTTCCATGATATATATGCAAAAAAATGCTGCATGTACTTAGTACATTAAATTCTGTTTGTTTCTAAATAATACTTTGAAGAATTTCTATTTTAAGTGAAAGATGATTTTATTCAGTGAAGGATACAGCAATACTCAGAGAAAATATGGAACTCCAAGCACTCACAATAGAAGTCAAAACCTAAGACCATCTGATTAGTACTTTGGACACTTGCCTGTAACCTTTGATCTAAAGGAAACTCAAAGTAGACTAGGCCATTTAGCTGGGTCTATGATTAAAAAAAACTCATTGGCGTGCATACTGCTAAGATAGGAATGTCAACATGTAATGTTTCTGTGCAAGGATGATGTAAATAAAAATGGTAAATTTTTAGCCTGGTGATTGTTAAGTGAAAGATGACATTATTCAGTCAATGGCTTGAACTGAAAATGTACAGGCCCCTTATTTACTCAATATTTTTGATCAATTCTTTTTACTTACAGGATTACCACAACACAATGCTTCCATTCAGGTTGGCTATTCACCAAATCTTTATTTAGTAGATAAGTGTTTAATCTTGTGACTGTGGTTTTAACTGAGTCTTAACCCTTTACCTCCCAAGATCTGATTGTTAATTCTCCCCTAAAGCTGCTACATATTTCTACAAAAATTAGTCACGAGACGTTAGTATTTGTGTTAGATAAGTATACCTATAACAATTTTTATTTGATAAATTTGAGCATTCTCATTACCTGGTAGCCTTATTACCATGTTGGATAATGTATGGATATTTTAGGGAGAAATTACATTTAAATAAATTCTGGGAGTTAGAGGGGCATAATAAAAGAGAATAAGCCTTAATATTACAACTGTAATCGATGTAAATGAGTTATTTAACTGGAGGTACATCTCCAATCATAGATGGTGGGGAGAGTACTTTTTTTTTATTACCCATGTACTCTCTTTTCCTGAGTTGTTGTAAGTAGTTTTCTGCAGATGGTGAATTCTGCTTGTGCCAAAGTATGTAACAGTTTGGATTTTGTTTTTCTTCAGTTATGTGTAAGCAAGTTGCGGATCTTGATTGAAGATTCTGACCAGAACTGTAAGTAAACAAGCAGCCTCGTTAGAATAATGGATCAATATCAGTATAAGAGGAACTGCATACCTACCACTCCCCTAAGCCAACAACAGTCAACAGATCACATCTGAGGGTTGATTTTAGGTTAGGGGAAGGGTGGGTGCATGGATGCTCTGATATTGACATTGATCCAGAATAATTGTGTGCTTCATTGAAATGCACCTGACGTCAATTAATTTGCATTTTATTCAATATTTTCAGCACCTTAGCTACGTTTTCCAAGTGGCCTCTAGTTACTAACGTTACTATTCTGTTGACAGTGAAATATCTTGGGTTACTTGCCATGTCAAAGATTCTTACAGTCAATGCAAAAGCTGTACAAGTACACAAGTGAGTGTTAAGAATTATTGGATCTCATTGGCCCAGAGTGCTGGTTCTGGAATAAAATGCCAAAATGAAAATGCATCAGATGAATTTTTTCCATCAGCCTGGAGAGGAGAATACAACTGCATTCTGATTATATGCTTTTCTCATTTATTTATTTTGTTTAGAGACATTGTTCTCCAGTGTCTAGATGACAAGGATGAGTCTATTAGACTCAGGGCTCTGGACCTTATCGTGGGAATGGTAAGGAGTTAATGATAATTGAAGATTTTTTGGAAATTTTACACTCTTACAGACAGAGTGGAAAAGCCAAAGCAGAAATCTTTGGCTTTGACCCATAACCAAGATGTAATTTCTCCTTGTTATATCAAAACAATATCAAAACAAGAAGTCACACCTAAGTCATAGCAGGGAGTTAACCCTTAAACTCCCATGAGTGACCAAGACAGAATTTCTCCTTACAATATCAATACAATATCAACCAGATAAGTGATGAGAATATTTAGAAAATATCAATTTGGGGATAATTAGTTGGTCCAATACTAAATTCTCTGAACTAACATTGTGAGAATTTTATGGTTGACTGTAAGGAGAATTACAAATGTAATCTGGGAGTTAAAGGGTTAAAGCATTAAATGTTATTTATTCAGGTTTCAAAGAAGAACATTATGGATATTATCAAGAAATTAATGGTGCAGATTGACAAGGCTGACAGCCAAAGTGAGTCTTTATAGTTCTCTTTACAAAATACCACATTTCTCATCATTATTCAGGTTTTGGGTGATACTCTGTGTTTGCCAGATTCTTCAATGACTTTTGTCTTCATTGTCAACCTTGTCTGATTTTGTTGCTGTGGCTGTTTTTGATTTACAGCTTACTGTGATGAAATTCTATCCAAGATTATACAGATTTGCAGTATGAATGACTATCATTATGTTACGAACTTTGAATGGTAAATATTGTGTTTTGCTCCTTATATTTTAGTAATTAACAATGATAATTGAGATATTTATTACAATATTTTTGATCTTCAAACTCATTATTAAATACTTTTAAATAGCATAGTACTGATTGGGTCTCCTCACTGTTTGTAGGTACATTGATGTACTGATTCAATTAACAAGGGTGGAAGGGACAAGACTTGGTAAACAGCTGGCTTCACAGATGATGGATGTCACCATAAGAGTCAAGGCAATTCGTCCCTATGCTGTGCAGTGCTTGGTGAGTTTCATCTGCAAAATCAGCATGTAATGGTTACTGTTTACCTTCATTGATTCTGGGTCATGAATTCATAAGTTTAAGCACTGTCTAGGGAATGTTTCCTCCATTAAATAAAGTCTGCTTACTTACTTTTAATTTAAATAAAGTTTGCTCAGATTTTTTTCAACTGATTAATAAGTCATGTTTCTACAAATCATCCAAAGGGTTTTGTTTACCTTTTGCAGATTGCTAGATGCACCCCCTGTATTTGGAAAAGTTCTCTTTACATTCAGCAAATACCGGATAAATACAAAAAGATTCACTATGATTATATCATTTCATCTTGATAAGCAGATGAGGCAAAATTTCAACCTTTTTTTAATCAGGGTCTTTTACCACATTCCTCATAGCACAGTGAAATAGTATCTTCTCAAAAATGTTTCAATTGTCTAATTTTTCCAGTCTCTATTACTGGACAACAATGAATTACTCTCAGGACAAATGGAAAAGAACAGGGTTTGTGAAGTTCTTTACGCTGCAGCTTGGATCTCTGGAGAGTTCTCAGAGTAAGTTTAGTTTCTGAAGTTATAAATATAATTTATACTGACTCAGCATTAGGTCAGTATGAGAGGATATTAATTAATTTACCAAGTTATGGTGGTGATCTCCTTGAAAAGACCAAAACAGAATAAGGCTAAAAATTTAGACATCTTGATTGGAGAAGCTTGGTCATGAACCCTTTACAAAGAAACATCAGTTTGCATGTTCTCCATACTGTTCTCAACACATTTCCTAAGGGTGCTGACAAGGAGAATTTGTTTAACAATCAATGGCTTCTTTAGTTGATGATCATTTCCTGTATTATCTTGACCTTAATGTTTGACTCAGGGGTGATGTTTTTAGGAAAAATAAGATTCTTGTCACTCTTAGGGGTTAAGGGGCTGAAGGATTTTGTTTACTGCCAAATAATAATAAATAAATAAATAATACATAATTTATGATTGTTACTAAATAAGTTCACCAAACTCTTTATGGTTTTCTTAGTCAATAACAACTGTATTAAAAGCCTACTGTACATGTAACAGTAGATTTGTTGACGCCATTTTATGTGATTAGAAAAATTATTTTCCAACCATGTAGACATCATGTCGGGATATAAAGAATATTTTGCCAACTTTGTTTCCCTGTTGTGACTCTAATTTACAGTTCATTTATAGCTTTGACACTTTGCTGTTGGGAAAGGAAAAACTGAGTCTATAACTTGCCCTGTATGGCCCTTGATATGAGTCCATAACAGTTACATGCTAGAGTATATGAAGTATTGATGTGTTGTTTTGTTTCTTTGTGATATCAGACACTTACCAGACATCCATAGTACACTTGAAGCAATGCTACAAACCAAAGTGACCTCCCTCCCTGGACACATCCAAGCAGTTTATGTCCAGAACATTGCCAAGTTGTATGCTAAACTTCTTGCCAGTGAAGCAGAGGAGGTATGTGATTTGATTTTAGTGAAATCCTTTTTCACTCTAAAGATTGACCAAATGAGATTTTCTTTTTTTAGTTTCTCTGTGTTTTTAAGCATTGTGATGACAAGATGAAAGGAAGATGTCACTTAGAGAATGTTTTTGATTGAACACCAATTTCTTTAAACTAAAATTATGAGAAAGTTATGGCAGATAGTACATAAAATTGTAAGGGGAAGGGTAAAAACTTAATTCTAGATTGACATCTGAGATTACAGCTGTTTGAGTAGCTGAAAGTTTTTTTTTTTTTTCGGTAAAGCAGGTAATTAGTATCTGTTGTGCTGTGTCAGTGCCTATTTGAAAGACATAATCAGTTTGCAAATTTGATAAAGATAGCTCAATCATTGTAGCACAGTTTGGGAAACTGATTTTCAAGTGTTAGCCTTTTTTTAAAGAAAAATGGGGAATTGTAGATTGTGCATGTGTTTCTCTAATGGATTGTGGAGAAGGGAATTATGCTAAATTGAAGCAAGCAAGTTTGAATTAATTGAAGCCATTCTTTTTGAAGCCAACTCCCCATATTGATTGATGAGTTTTTGTTTAGAAGTTCTGCAAAGGTGTGGTGTGTTTCCCTATTCTGTGATTGATAAAACTGGGTGCTCTTTCACATGAAATGATTTGTTTTGTTTTTAAGGAAGAAGAAGATGAGAAGACATCAGTTGGTGGGATGCTTGTAGAGAGGTTACCTGTTTTTGTACAGAGTGCAGACTTAGAGGTTCAAGAGAGGGTAAGTAGTGTCAGTTTAACCCTTAAACTCCAAGAAGTAATTTTCTTCCCACCATATCCATACATTTTCTAGCGAACAGGTAATGAGAAGACTCAAAATTATCAGGTCGAAGTTAAGACCTTGATCTAACACCAAATTCTCATAACTAACTTACAAGGAAATGTGCAGCAGCTAGAGGAGGAATTAACAGAGATCTTGGGAGTTAAATGGTAACCCACTCAAAACAATTGTGAGACAGTATTTTGGTCTTCAGTTTTCATTTCAGACTTTTTGTTCAGGGGTAGGGTGAGGAGAGTGGGGAATGACGAGGCTTCAGATTATGGGGGTGGGGTGGGGGGGGGGCACAGGAGAATCTTGAAGCTTTAGACAGGGGCATGCCAGGGAGGATGGCTTTTTAATCATTAGAAAGGGGGCTTATAAGAACATTGAGGCTTTAGATGGAGAGCTTTCACTTTGAACTTTCACTTTCAAACCTTTCACTCCCACAAGTGACCAAGATAGAATTTCTCCTTACAATATCAATACAATATCAAGCAGGTAGGTGATGAGAATAGAGAAGAATATCAATCGTGGGATTATTAGTTGATCCAATACCAAATTCTCTGAACCAACATCATAAGAATGGTATGGCAGATAGAAAGGAGAATTACAAATTAGATCTTGGGAGTGAAAAGGTTAAAGAGGAAGGCATTACAGAGAGTGGCAGCAAATAGGGCCATTTACCGTCACTGTGTTGCAGCTTATCGGATATCATTTGATCTTGAGTTTTTGTTGTTCATTTTAGGCCAGCTGTATTTTGCAACTCATTAAGTACGTCCTCAAGCTGCAAGGAAAAGGTGAGCCAGTTATTTGAACTTTTTTTTTTGTTACCATTATTCTATTTATTTATTTATTTATTTATATATTTTTTATCACAAAGTTATTGTATACCAGGGAGTAGAACGCAATGATACTTCCCTTCATTTGCTTTATGGAATAAGGGGTCAATCAACCTTGTTGTGTGTGGTTACTTATCAGGTGTTGCTTGCACCGACGAGGTATCATCATTGTTTCGGGGTGAACTGAATCCAGTCGCTGCTAAAGCACAGAAGAAGGTGCAGATTCCAGAAGGGTAGGTTGACACTTTCTTGTATTGTTATCAGTTCTTGATAATTTTCTGCTTTTTAACGATATTGTCCTAATTAATCCAACTATTGTTTCTCCAATGTCTTCATTCAAAGCAACTCACTTGTCTAACTATATGAAATTTTTCGGTCAATGTTGAATTTATGTCGAATACAGTGTAGCTTTACAGTTAAACCATTATGTAACCGATAGAAAGCAATGCCAGAGGAGTGTTAAAATGTGTTTGTTGTGTCTGGGTGAATTTTCCACTCCTAATGCTTCAAATGGAGGGGGAGGGGTCGATTCATACAGAAGTTTTCAATTGATGGTGAAAAGGTTAAGTGAATTTTGTAATAATTAAGTCAAGAAATTAATTCTTGTTGCTTTTTTATTTTTTTTTAGGCTTGACCTTGATAAATGGATTAACGACCCTCCATCAGAAAGCTCAGAAGAGGAAGAGGAGATCGATGCAATATTTGACACACCAAATGAACACAAGTATGACTTGAGACAACTAAGCAAATTCTCCATCATCAGACAACTTTATAAGATGAAAGTCTTTTCGGGATCTAAGCTCATCTTGGTCTAAAGTCACCGTTTGGTGCCGGAGCTAAAATAATACAAAAAGGGTCCTCAGAAATAAAATTGGTCTCCAGAATAAGAAAAAAAGACTGCATTTTTCATGTAACACAAATACAAATTTGTAACGCGAGTGTAAATTATCAGTAGCGTGCGCGCGCTGTCAAAATTTCGTCTGTCTTGACTTTCTCGTACAATTTGGTCTAAATAGGCACTTGTAAATTTTTCAAAGACTACAAACGGCACGAGCCTTACGGGCTCGTGCAGTTTTGTTGTCTTTGAAAAATTCAGTCAGATTTATGCATACCAAATTGTGCTCGAGTTCACGTTATCGCCTATAGTATGCAACATAGCTGGAATTCATTTTTGGTAATCCAGGCGACCTCTCAAACCCGTTTCTGTTAACCTTAAACAAATGTTTTGGACATTTTTAGAGAACTGCGGCAAAAATATGTATCGGATGATGAGGAGGAAATGCAAAAGGTAATTTTTTTCTTTTTCTTACTTTGCAGTGTACTTTGTTTTGAATTTTTTTTTCCTTTTCGTGCCACATATGACGTTGGTGCCATCCTGATGCCAGTTCTGTTGTATTTTTCAGAGACGTGAACAGAGGAAACAGGAACAAATGAGTAATCCTCATTATCTGAAGATGTCATCACGGGAGGAGAGGAAGGTAAAATTAAATGGATATCAATGTTATGTGTTCTTGTACTAGTTTAAAAGCCAACAGATCAGTTTGTCTGACTCTTCAAAGTGGTTTGATATTCGATGACTTCATGATGGTGCGTGTCATCATTATCGTGGTCTGCTTGGGTCTCGTTGTGCTAGAACGTGCACCATTCACTTCTATTCATTGTAAATTAATTTGGTTTTATCAAATGAGTTGCTTTAGAAACCCTTAACGGTGGCTAATGTACCCTAGGGAGGTTGAGGAAACCTCGACGGCAACGGCAATGAAAAAAGAGTTTAATGAGCGGAACAATGGTTGTGCACGTGCGTTATAAATCTTTGTAAATTTCCTGGCGTCTTCTGCAAAACAACAACGTGAAATGACTAAACTTTGCGTTGTCTGGAGAACGTGAACGACGACGGCTAATTGTTTTTTAATTTTCCATTTTTAATTTAACGCTGTGTTCCATATTCAGTTTCGAATCGTTTTGATAGCGATAAATAAAATTAATGAACTAAGTGTATCGCGAGATTCGTAGGTAAAATAAACGTTCATTTTTTAAACGTTGTCGTTTCTCAGACTCCTTCTTAGGGACCTTAAGCAAACCACGACGGCGATAGCAACGAGGACATGGAAAAACAAAAGATCTAATTGACAGAACAATAGCTCAGCACGTGCATTTTAAAACTTTGTCCATTTCTTAGCCGTCCCATGCAAAACAATAGCGTGAAATCACCACAGTTTGCGTCGTCTGCGAACCGAAACCGCGACGGCAAATTCTTTTAATTTCCATTTGGAACTCGACGCTTCTTTTATACGTTATGCTGAAGTTGAGGTGTGGCGCCGTATGAGACGGTAAACACATGCAGCCCTTTTTGAAATTCTAATTAAAGGCAGAAATTCATTTTTTAATCGAAGTCTTCCTTGGCGTTGCCGTCCTGACTGCTCAAGGTCCCTATCATCAAGGAGTGGGAATGGGGATAGAGCAGTGGTGAGAGCGCTCGCCTCGCACTGATGTAGCCCAGGTTCGATTCCGGACCAGGGTCCCGTTTGTCGAAAGTCGTGGTAACTTATCGGGCCCGAAACCATATTTGGAAGTCAAAGCCTTTCTGTTTCTTTGGCTTATAATTTTATTTTTCAGCAAATTGTTTGAGTTTCGCCTTACGGCCCCTTTTTGGGGGCACAGCCGCTTATTATGTCATCGTCAGCTGCTCATGGTGAAAGTTAATAATATTAAAAACCCCTGCTTACCCATATTTCTTTTTGCTCAGGCTAAAAAGAAAGAAATGGCAGTAGAGGATATCCCGGTCGCTAACCTTGACTTACCTGTGTCACTCAAGGTGTCAGGAGGTAGGATTCTTTGCTTACAAACATGAAATGAATAGAGTAAACATGAAAATAAAATCTTGAATAGTAAAAAGCCCAAGAAATCATAAGATTGACTAAAATGATGTAACTTCTTTACAAGGTTTTCGGGATTTTTACTGAGATTATGAACAGCTCTTCAAACAGGATCCATAATACAAATTACACCTAGCCTGCGGAGCAGGTGTGAATTTGACGAGCAAGTACTCAGTATTTTCTTGGTGAAAATTATGGCGGCCATCTTTGATTCTTACTTCAGCGGAAGCCCCGGGGGAAGAAAGATATTTGAACCAAGGGGGTAAGGGATGGCCAAAAGGAAAGAGAGGGAGGGGGTTGGTGGGTGGGTCTTTCCCCGCCTCCTTCCTAACTGTTCTCTCTAACTCTCAATCAAATATGGCCGGCCGGGTGAACGATCGCGAGCCTGTAACGGTAACTCGTCCCAATAAGGCGGCTGAACTGCAGGTTAACCTTTTACACCCTAACATCAGTATTCATATTCTCCATACTGTTCTCTACACGTTTCCTTAATTGCTGACAAGGAGAATTTGTTTAGCAATCAATAGCTTCTTCATTTGATGATCATTTCCTTTATTCTCGTAACCTTAAAGTGTGGCTGTGGGTGATATTGTGAAGAGAAATTAGATGTTAGTCACTCTTAAAAGTTAAAGGGTTAAATCAAACCCAAAATATCTCTTCAAATTCTGAAGTGTCAATCGCTTGACATGAAGTTAGAACTGACTTAACTCTCACAAAATGGTTTATAAAGGAACTGGTCTCCATCTACCACTGATAAAGTCTTTTTTTTTCTGCTTCCCCTTGATTTAACCTCAAAGTGAATTTCCTCTTTCTTTCCCTTCACTTACTTGAAATGTGTTGTCGGTTAGGTATGGCACTTGACAAGAAATACGCTTCTGCTAAGAAGTCAAAGAAGAGAAGAAAGAAAGGTTTGTATTTTTGTTGTTGATTTTCTTCTTGTGGGCTCTGGCGGAAAAATTCAACGCAGCTCGCAAAATATTCTCGCGTACTACATGTGAAACCATCAAATAAGGGGTTTTTAACATCTCTCTCTGTCATCAGGTCGCAAAGGAAGTAGGGCAGATGAAGAAGAACCAGATCTTGGCATCTCGTATGAAGTACTCCCAGCCGGGGCTGGTGAATTACCTGAAGTAAGATTTTTGTTTTAAAATGTGCCAATTCACTATTTTGAATTAGCTAAATTACACTTTAACAAAGTCTCACTTTTGTAATGGATTGATCTTCGAGTTCTTTGAGTTTTTTGGCTTTGCTGCCATGGTTTCCCCTCTCTTCTCCTTTTGCCCCACCCTACCGTACCAAGCCCTCTTTTCGTTCCTTTCACTGACCTATTCAATGTCGGTTTCTAAAATGCGGGCCTTTGACCCGGCGAGTGGGATTCTAGGCTGTGGGGGTATATTCTACATGATGCACCAGGAGCCCATTTTCTATTTAAGCTAAGCTGCTAGCTAACGTTACAGTGTGTTTTTTTCGGTTAGGGAGCTGATGATTCAGATCATGAAGATAAAGGGAATGACGAGGCTCCCGCAAGTGACCCCCACAAACTGTTGGATGTCGACCTCAGCAAGTATGTCGGTCCCTGTCTCTTATGATTCTATTGTTGTAACCCTTTGACCCGTAGGAGTGATTCGCGTCTCATTTCTCCGTACAATATCACCCCTGAATCAAACATTTAGGCCACAAGAATAAAGGAAATGATCACCAACTTTTGATTGATGAACAAATTCTCCTTGTCAGCACCTTGGAAAATGTATAGAGAACAGTATGGAGAAAAAGCATACCGATGTTGGGGTTTAAAGGGTGAAAGAAATGCATAAGTACGTGCATGGACGCGTTGATCGAGATTAACAAGCAGTACTAAATACTCTTCCAGTTTAGTCACTTACGCATGATTCGAACACAAACGTGTTATGTTCCCAACACCTACTGTTGGCCTCACTTTATTTTTCGTTTTTATTTATATATATATTTATTATAATCGCACAATTAAGTGTCGCGAATTTTTTTTAGAAGATTACAAAGACAAAATAAAAATTTAAAAATGCTTTTATTTCCAATTTATCTGTAGACCTCTTGAAGCACACGAAGCACTGCCCGTTCGTCAACACCGAGTTGTATTAGAATCACAGCAGGTTGATGGTGAAGAGAATGAGGTCAGAAGTGAAACTTAGTTGTAATGGTCCACCATAATCTATCTAGGCAAGCTAGGCAATTACACCTTTTACATGATTTTGACTTACTCTACTTTCACGTGAGAGAAATCAAAGCAAACTACTGGGATTCGACAGAGCAACCTTGGGCTAATGACATATTTTCAACTTTAGGAAACCCCCAAGAAGCATGGTAAGGATAAGAAACACAGACACAGAAGGGACAGTGAAGGAAAAAAGGTTTGTCAGCGGCATGTGGTTGTTGATATCTATTTGCAAAAGGATGAATCCATGATGATTATTAATTCTGTGAAAATGTCTTTGTTAATTTTTTGTTGTGGTTGTTGTTGTTTATTTTGTTCCTTTGTTTGTTTGTTGTTTTGTTTTGTTTCGTTTTGTTTTTTCAAGTAAACGCGCTTCAAGACGCGCGTTTCTCCGCCCGCGGGAAGATTTGAAACGAGTCGAGGAGAGGTTTCTTCGGGGTCTAGCGCTCTTATTAGTGCTGATAATGAAGGCCTTCTTGTAAGCTATCTACTTGTAGTCATACATGTTTCATAGAATGAGCTCATATTGTACTTTTGAAAATTAAAAGAAATGCTTTATTAATGTATTATTAATCGTCCCCCATCTATTGCGTCAGGGTAAACACAAGCATAAGCGGGGTAAAGAGGACAAAGATAAAAAGTCAAAACACAAGCATCGACACCATCGTAAGGATGAAGGTACTTTTGTTCAAATTGAATAACTTCACTTAGACAGAACCCTTCAATTACTTCTTCAAATCTAAATTTGTTGTCTGCTTATAAAGCTGCTCAATTATATTCATGAAGTACCTAGGATTGCGACTGTACGCGGGAGACGCAGTGACTTGGTTCTGAGTGCGATGGACTCTGAATAGAGAGGTCTGGGTTCGAGCCAGGACGGGTCAATGTTTTATGCTCCTACGCAAGATATTTCACTCTCACATTGTATATTTATACCCACGAGTATGAATAGGTACTAGTAGGTTGTTATGGAAACCTAAAAAAGTGCAGGGATGGGGTGTGGGGACGGGAGATAGGAACCTTGACAAACCTTGTGATGGATTTGTAGCGTCTGGCTCATAAGAAGATTTCACCTCTGTGGTGTATCGTTATGTCAATGTCTGGCCTGATGTAATAGTACTTAACTAACAAATGAGTGATATCGTTTTTGGAGAATTAATTCTACGATTTCTCTTTCCAATGAGGTACAGAACCTGATGAGGATAATCTGATGTTTAATGGAGAAGTGGATCACGTTGAATCACCATCACGAGATGATTCTCATCAAGAAAGTGAAACAACAACTCCCTCGAAGGAGATAACAGAAGTGGAGGACTTTAAACCTTCTGCGGATGAACCTGGTGATCCTCAGGTGTATACCCTAAACCGACTTAGTGATCTTGTCCACCTGCACATGCTTGCTGTTAACTTTAATCCACGAGCAAGCCCTCAGTGCTAGGGCTGCAGGACGCGCGTATCTCCGCCCGCGGGAAGATTTTAGACGAGTTGATTATCAGCGCCAGAACCGTGACAGACCTCTCTCGCGGGCTCGCATTGCTTAAGGCCTCATACTTTACACCCTAAGATCAGTATGCATATTCTCCATAATGTTTTCTATACATTTCCTAAGGTGTTGACGAGGAGATTTTGCTTAACAATCAAGAGCTCCTGTACTTGTTGATCATTCTCATTATTCTCATGACTTTAATGTGTGATTCAGGGCTGATACTGTAAGGAGAAATTAGATGTTAGTCACTCTTAGGGGCTAAAGGGTTAATGTTGACACGCTCTTTTCATCTTCTGTAGTAAAAATATTTTTTTATCTGTGGCATCTTTTAACCTTGATATCATTTACCTCATGGTAGGATGATATGGATTTCTGGCTTTCCTCGACTCCTCAAAAGAAATCTTCCCCTCAGGTAAGCTGTGTAATTTACGTAATATTTTTGCCACCCTGAAGTGAAGAACGATTATTTGTTAAAGTTATTTTATGTTACCCACTGGTTTGTGGAAAAACTTGATCGACTGAATCAAGATTGACAGATAGCTTAACCGATGGACTGATCGATGTGCAGACGACCCGACAGACAGACGAACGGGTTGGTTGGCTGGCCGATTGATCAACTGAATAACTTACTGAGCTTTGCTGGTGGACTGACTGATATACGAACGGACAGACAGACGCACAGTTTGACGAAAGGACTCACTGACTGACTGACTGACACAGATCCATGGACTATCATTCTGTCAGATTGATCAACTCACTGAGTCACTCACTGACTGACTTACTGTTAAGCTGGCTGACTGATTGACTGACTCACCGACTGACTGACTGACTGACTCACCAACTGACTGACTGACTAACTCACAGACTGACTCACTGACTTACGGACTGACTGATTGACTCGATGACTAGCTGACTGATAGACTGACTGACAGACTGACTCACTGACCAGCCGTACTGAATCACCGACTTATTAGCTAAATTATTGACTTACTCACTGATTGATTGAAAGATTTAATGGTTTGATTGCTTGATTGACTCATTCTGTCACCAGCCTGCGGAAGTAGCCCCAACGCCCTCACCAGATAGTGCAGCAGAAGAAACAAGAAAAGAAGAGAAATATGCGAGGCAATCTGAGGTACAGAGTTTGTATTCTTCATTTTAAATCCATGTCAATCTTCTCCATCCGTGGTTTATTCCTTTAGTTTTTGTTACTTGAGCAACATAGCTAGCGTTGTGACTTTTTTTTCATGTAGCATTCTATCTTCAAGGACTTGGTTAGTGTATTCAAAGCTAATACGAAATGTTTTTTCTTCTCTCTGTCTCTGTCCTTAGAAATCCGAGACTAAACAATCGAAACGAAAACACCGCAAGGATAAATCGGAGAAGAAAGAGAAGCATGAAAAGGAGAGAAAGAAAGAAAAGAGAAAGGGGAAAACTGGTGAGAAGCCTGATTCACCCGAGACCGCTGCAGCTGAACCAGAGAACCAGTATGAACCAACAATCACGGAGTTGGAGGAAGAGAAGAAGCAGGTAAGATACAAGGTCATCCTCTACCCCCCAGCCCTACCCCCACCAAATCAGTGTATGAGACGCCCCCCCCCCCCCCCAGCCCTGTATGCGACTCACACATGGACATTCCCCTGTGTGCGTGTAATTTTTCCCCGAAACGTTTTTTGAGTTCAATGTTTTTAGTAAGTTTCTTATTCATGTTTGTGTTTCAGCCCGTCATCACAACTTACAAAGTTCTTGCCGAAAACGGCTCTCTTAGACTGGTAAGGAAATATATTCAGTTTCTGATATCGTTGGTTTTTTTTTTGTTTTGTTTTTTTGGCATTGACATAAAATTTTTCATACAAGAAAGATTTTCCTGGAAAAGTAGCATTACATTATACATTTATTTATCTGCTGACAAGGAGAATATGTCTAATAATCAAGAGCTTCTGTAGTTGTTGATCATTTCCTTTATTCTCATAACCTTGTAAGGAGAGGTGAGATGCTTATCACTCTTTGAAGTCAAAGGGATTATTTGAGTACATATGAAGAGGGTGGGTATTATAATTTTGAATTTATGGATTCTTTGTTCTTACAGATGTACGAGACAAGAGTGACCACGCAAAATCGAAACCAAGTAGTAGTGTCCGTAATATTCAGGTGAGTGTTGTCTAGAGATGTGATCCACATTTATCTTCTCCTCAAAAGCGCTGTTCATTGTCTACCGGGCAGGTGATGGGTAAAACGAATTTATCAACAAGAGGCCGTCAGCGTGATATGTAATGGAAACTGAACTGAGTGGAATGTAATTTGGTCAGGAATCGTATGGGTGATGTCAAAATCGCACGAGTTTGATTTGAAATCACAAGTATGATTTCAGATCAAAATTGCACGACACAAAGTTCAATCACCATTGTATTGCATCCATCCAAAATACAATCGCTCAGATACAGGTTTTCTTTTTTAGTCTGTACAAATGTTTTATTGGTCTAGTAGTGAGCTGGTTTGTAAAAAGTTACACAAGTTGTTTTTCATTTTCCTGCAATTAGATTGGCTTCTTTAAACAACCTTTAAAATCTGATTGGTTGTTTTATTTAAGTGAAGCTTCCTCATTGCTTGGGAAAAAGACGCAATTAAGTGCCAAAAAGGGTGGAGGGGGGGGAACTTGCATCCCATCAAGGGTGGTGGTGTTATATTCCTAGTCACTGGGGAAACTGGGATAAGCTTCGGCTGGATTAACCCTTTACACCCTAACATCAGTATGCATATTCTCCATACTGTTCTTTAAACATTTCCTAAGGTGTTGAAAAGGAGAATTTGTTTACCAATCAAAAGCCTCCTTCGTTGATGATCATTTTCTTTATTCTCTTGACCTTAATGTGTGATTCAGGGCTGATATTGAAGGGAGAAATTAGATGTTCGTCTCTGTTTGGGTTGAAAGGGTTAAACGATTGGCTCAAGTACAGACCTTTACTTTGTAGTGGAGCTAAGTGGCCCATCCAGCTTAAGCTAATCTCGGTTTCTCTGACATAACACACTTAGAGTACCATCTCTTCCACTGAATGGGATGGCAGTTTCTCTTTTGATTTCCCTCTACAAAATCGAAAGAACCACACTTTACTTTTTGTTTTTTTCCGAATTTATGTTCACAGTAATTTGTCGGATCGTCACATCAAGTCCATGGAATTTAATGTATTAGATTCACTTAATACTAAGCTGATACGTCCGGTGAGTTACTTTTCAGAGGTCCCTCTCGTGTGTAACCATCTCTTTTTAGCGTTGCTAAATATTAAGCTCCTGAAAGTCAATTTGGCCCTTTAAGATGTGTTGAAATTATCCGTGCCACAATTCGAGTTTTGTGCATCATAGTACTTAAACACCTTCATAAAAGAAGACACTGTTGTTAATTTGGGAGTGTGCCTAGTGGAAGAACCGTCACCACTGTTGTTCCACCTAGTTGACACACAATCTAATCTAATTACAACTTAACGATCAGAGGTAAAATTTACGATGAACAAAAGTATTGGCGGGAGTAAAACTTGTTGCACTTTCCTTAGAGAAGCGTTTGCGTTCTTACGAGAACGAATAAATTACTAAACAGTCGTTTCAGAGCTCTGGAGTAAAATGAAAGTCTTAGTTAAGATTTCATGGTTATATATGCCAGTGTGTACTGACCGTACTGGCGCTCTGTTACAGATCGGATCTTCGTCACGCGACAGTGTTCCAGTCCCTTTTCACCTTTTGCCAGGTAAATGTTCACTTACACCTGATGAATGTCTTTTATTTATGCAACAGACCACACTTTCTTTCGGTTACCAGCGTAATAACCTACGCGTGGTGTTGTGAGAACACGAGAAAAGTTTGTAGATCACGAGCCGGAGGCAATTCATTTAAAAAACTTTTCGAGTGTGTTCCTTGGACGGAAACTCTCTGAATAATGGTGTCACTGTGTCATTGTGATGTATCAGCCAGTTTTGCTTCTTGTTTACACTCAATATTGTTTATCTTATAGAATCGTCAAATGAAGGACAGTTTGCCTTCACCGTAGAGAGCATAGTCATGGTGCAGAAACTGCGAGGAACACTCACTTACGTCATCAAGGTACTTTATGATAACATATCGTGTCGGGGAGGGTGGGGGGACTTAGTTGTGGAAAGGGAGGAGTGGGCAAGTCGAGGGAAGACCACTTGGATCATTTTACATGGACTTACTGGTTTAACGAGTGTGGGACAAAGATAAAAAAATCTTTGTTACTAACAAATCTTAATTTCTCACCTTTTTCTTCATCCGCCTATGATATCCATTTTGCAGGACGACGAAGGCTCCACGAGTGAAAAGATGGATTTTTCGTTGTTTTTACCTTGCTCTTCATTTCTGATTTCTACGCCGTTGTCTAGGTATGCGTGCGGTTTTTATTGTTATTTGTTTTTTCCAGTTTTAATCAATTCAATCCTCTTTGCCAGTCTGATGTTTTTTCTTAAATCACTCTTTGTGATGTCGTTCTTCTGTTTATCCTCAGCACGGATTTTACGAATCTTCTGGGAAGTGGAACTGTTGTTCACAAGGGTTCTGTTAAGGTTTGTTATTTTTTATACAATCTCTTGCCGTAAAAGTCTATCCCTGACCATACGGGGCATAAAGAGATGGAAGGGGCTGGGAGACTGGATACTACAAAAACATGAAAGAAGAGACGACTTGGAACCATTCGAGGTTATTGTTTGGGTCAACATCTTGAGGATGAAATATTCGTTCTTTGTGGTTCTTGCGTTTTCCCTTCTGTTTGGATCGCCCAGCGTTGACGTAACGCGTGAAAAGTTTGAATGAGATTTAAAAGCGCGATTAGCAGTTGAAGATAGCTCAAGAAATGACAGTACGTGAACACATTTCTTTTGCTACATGCGTAGGAGTTATAACAACGGAAAATAAAAACTTGGCGGTGACAAAACATCTACATGAAGCTTATAACCTAAGTAAGCTTATTCTTTTCAGAGCCTGTGTCCGCGCCTCGAAAACGTTTGAGTGAAAATCCTTTTTTTTAATTGACGTCAATAATAATAATAATAGTGATGATCTTTATTGAGGAAACTTTTTCACAAGAAGAGGTTTTCGAAAAGGACCTGGATGATTAAGACTAAAATATATACATAAAATTAAAAGGAAAAAAGGAATTTTAATCAAGATTTATGTATTTTGTTCCATCTCGTCTCTGATCATTGTTTCCTTCGCTCTTTGTTTCCCGCGCCCAGATAGATATCCTGACCCGGTGAAGTTGTTGTGGTTTTTGCGCTTTTTGCGCTTAGAAGGGATGAACCTTTCCGCAAACTGTGTTGGCTCATGAACTAGACTTGTAATCTCTTGTTAATTTGATTTGTCTAGAAGAGAAAGAAAAGTTGTTTGTTTGTGGCTTTCATAAATAACCAGATATCCGATCTACAAGGTTTTTCAATGTTTAATTCAATTTATGGCAATACTCAATGAATACGAAAAAGAAGCGGTTTTTTAAAACATTTAACGATAAAAATTGCGATAAAACATTTCGTAAAAGCATATTAGAAATATTTTGACGACGTTTCGACAATTGGCTCAAGTCAGAGTGAAAGATAAAAAACGTTCATTTACTAAAAAGACAATAGGTAATGGAATGTTCTTTTAAACAAAGAGTATGGCGCGAATGGAATCAGTCTGCGTGTTGAGACTAGGATGCGCTGCTTGATGAAAATCATCTCATAGACAAGACAGTCCAATTTTCCTTGGCACTTTTCACTTTTAGCATTCCATTACCTATTCTCTTTGTAGTATTTAAACATAAGTTATCTTTCACTCTTTCATCTGATAATGACGTTAGCGAAACGTCGTCAACATATTTTTAATATGCTTTTACGAAATGTTTTATCGCAATTTTTTATCGTTAAATTCTTTATGAAATGGCCTAATTTCACTCTTGTTCTAAACATCAGCACCCAGTTGTTCAAAGGCTGATCAACGCTAACCCAGGGTTAAATTTCAATCCAGGTTTCTCTATCCTTTTGTTCAAAGCCTTTCTCGCATAATTTTCCATATTCTTTAAAGGGCATTTAAACTTCAAATTGTAAACGAAAAGAATTTGATTGAATGTCCTTTTATGGACTTTAGATCTCAAATCAGATTTCACACTAATCCTAGGTTATCTTAATCCAGCTTTGAACAGCCCGGTCCAGTTCTTCATATTGACTGCCATACTTTTGTGTTACTTTTTGTTTGAGAAGGTGTTGTTAAATCATACAGTACCCCTTTGATGATATTTTTGTTTCTTCCAATGACCTTTCTGCTCGAAAATGCGTCGACGTTTTAAGGTATCATTTGGTCACCTACAAAAGTGAGAAGGGTTCCGCCAATTGTTCTAGTCAGTTCCGGCTACAGAAGATTTGTGGAGATTACGTCGAGAATTAGGAGGTATACAGACGATGGAATTCATTAGAACGTTTTTTTTTTTTTTTTTTTGTAGGTTACTACACCAGAGACAACAGCGTTCAGTTCAATCATCACCAAGATTTGCGTTCTGTTACATTTTGCAGGTAACACTTCCTTCTCATTAGCCTCGCACGTAATTCGCTTGACACGCACGACCCTTGCGCGGGCGCTGCACGCGTGTTCCGCGGGCGCTGCACACGTGTTCCACGCGCGCCGTGGATCACGCTCGACGCGCAATGACACGCTTCACTGATACGGAACTCTGCCAACTTCCGTGCACTTTTCCCGTAAACAAGTATCGACTTAAGTTGCAACTGAATGCAGTAGCCGGTGAGATGTTATCGCGAATTGTTTGCCCAGGTTTGAGGCCGGAAAAAGAATCTTCATTGTTTTCCGCAGTGTTGTGCAGTATTTCAAGAAACAGACTTTTGATTTCTTAACGTCATTCTTCATGTTTTTTAACGAGACATCCTGTCTAAGAGCTTTTACGCGATAAAGATCTTATTACAGTTGGAATCTCCCTTAATTGTTAAGCTCCTCACTGCAAGAAGAAGTGTTAGTACTGATGTTTTTACTCCATAAAAACTAAGACCCACAGTTGTAATTTACTGTGAGAAGATGATATTGCGCAAATTTTTTTTCAGAGGGTTTTTCTTACGTTAAATAACCAGTAACCTCTAGGACGTGATCTCTCTGAAACGTTTACTAAAATCATTCTCAATATTCGATGTAAGATTTTGTCTCTCTACATGACTAAGATCACGTCAATATTAATAACATCCAGAATCTGAAGTGGTCACGTTCGTGATTTTCTGAGTTACTTTGGCCACGTTTTCCTTCACAGAAATTCCGCGGAAATGTCAAGTCTGCAAATAGTTGGAAACAATTGCCAGTAGCGTTTATGAAAGCCTTTATTTTCCTTGTTTTGACTGCCTTAAACTATTTTGAACTATTGTTATTTTTGTTTATTGTCAAGGGTCGGAAGGTTACAAACAGATGTGAATTAGTAGTCTTTCAAATTACTTTACGGAGATTGTTTATATCTGCTTTGCGCAATCTGCGTGGAGGAAACATCTTCAGGTGTTTCTTGAAATATAATGGAAAACTGCCAGCATAGTTGTTGTTTTGTCGGTGCAGACACTCGGTATATTGACTTACGTTCCACCTTTCTTGAACAAAGAGCTTAGTTACAGCGTGGTATTGTTTCAAAATCGGTGGTTGTATTGGAATGGTTAAAAATAAGTCGACAAAATGGTTTTGAAAAACTAGTCGAAACTTTGGAGATAAAGCGAGCGAAAAACGTTGTGTATTTCGGATTTTTGTCAGCCATGTAGCGAAAACCATACTTTAAGTAGAAGATCTCTAACAGAACGCTCAGAAACGGACGGCCCAATTTATAGCCGCCTTGAGCAGATCCATTTTTTTAGAATTCCCGTACAATTTCTGTATGTAATTAATCCTCTGAGCAGCCAGCCTCGTTTCTTGCAGGAAACCTTTTAACAGACTTGACTTCCAAAAGTGGTACTTGCTTTGCAAATCGAACACGCTTTGTTGTGGCGTAATTCAGCCTTACATTAAGCAATGCCGAAGAAAAGAATTGGTAAAACTCTCCCTAAAATTTAAGTTTGAATCATGTCTTTGTTACTTCTTTGTGTCTATCATTCATGTGGAGTTAAAGAGACAAATACAAATCTCAGTATCCTTCCTTGACAGCCATAGGCCAAAATTATTCCGTTTCAAGTTTAAAAATCGTATCCCGTTAGGACGACTCATTCCTTTATTAGTTATGTAGAGAGAAATATGAATGAAAACTTTTGCAAGCGCCAAGCCATCGAATTTTTCAGCGCGGCCAGTTGTGACGCTCACATGCATCAGCGAGTGTGATCTGGCTTTGAACCTCAAATAAGTCTTCGAACAAGTTGCTCGTTCACATTCGGAATGTTGATTACTAAATGTAACTCTTTGGTTTTCTCTTGTTTTAGTTGTGGAACAAGTAGATAACAGCGCGTCTTTGTACGCCTGTTCAATTCAAGGCCACCATTTGTGTGCTCTTGTGAAGCAGTTACCGGTGAGTGCTTGTGATATTCTATATCATAATCTCATGTCTCTAACGCAGTGCTAGTCAGCCTCTTGTGCTGACTTTACCTCAACTGTACTAAAACAGCATTGACAGGGACGTTTAACCTTAGGACGCGCGTCTCTCTGCCCACAGAAAGATTTGAGACTTCCCAGTCCTAAATTTTCAAGCATTTTTCTGCTTCAAACTTATGTTCAATTGACTAACTCTCCTTGCTGACTCCCTGATGTTTTTTTTTTATCCTCTTATCGAGAATCAAACGTTGCATCAGGATAGTATTATGATTGAATTTTATTCTGGACACTTTTGGTCGTCTTTGGTGTCGTTTTTTTGAGCATGTCACGCAACACTTGTCGTTGCGTGACATCCCTGGAAAAAGAAGAAAAGAGGTGACCAAGGTTCTTGTTAAGTTAGCGTAACGAGAAATTAATAGCTGATAAAGATGGTTTCGTTCCTTTTCAGGATCACTCTGTGTCTGTTGACGGTAAGAGCACAGATTCATCTCTTGTGTCCAGCGTCCTGGAAGAAATAAAAGCGCTTTTACAGGCGCCGGCATGACATTTCGAGCGGCGTTAACAAATATGATATTCAGAGACGTACTGTACAATCAATGAAATGAATCACCATGTCCTGCACGACATACAAAGTGGCTGAGAGACTGGGCCGCACCAGATGAATCACGATTTAATTGTTATAACAAGGGAACATAACAGTTAACTAATTTCAATGACGATTTTAAACCGTTTTCACTGAATTCTTTTGGGTATTTTGCATACATGATGATATCTGGTAGCTTTACAATAGATAAATGGAGAGAAATAAGATTTCGGGAAAATGAATTCGTTGCTAACAGACATGGTGTTGCGTTCGTAAGACGTTGCGTTGCGTAACTTCTGCAATTTTCAATGGATTTTTGAATGGAAAGTGTGATCATCTGGGACTGCATTAGTTATGCTTTACAAACCTCTGTAATTCGTCCAGAAAACTCACGCGCCATCCTTTTAACCAATCAGATGCAAATCAGGCGCATCAGGCAGTCAGCTCGTGTTTTTGGTTGAGTTCTCTTAGCTAAATTTAATTGTTGGCTATAATTACTTTGGTTTTGCCTTTGGTTTTGCTTTTGCTTCTCCGAGACTCGAGAACTTTAACCTTTTATGTGACCCGTCAACTCCTAAGATCTGGTTATGTTTTTTTTTCTAGATGATATACATTTAACATTTAAATTACTTGGTTAATGAGAGGATATTTGTGGTATCCTGATACTAGAGGTAATACCTCCCTGCGGATAAGTCTGCGGATGAGTTTTAGTGATACTGAAAGATGTTACTTACAAAACACTTCACGGAGTTGGTGGTTTATTCGTAGCAGTATGAAATAATACAAATTAATATTGGAAATTTTGCAAAACCATTTACCACTCAGAAATGGGGAAAGGCGAAAACAGACGGACCTTTCAGTTAAAAATTCTTTCAAGATATGTATGTAGCTCTAGTGTAACAAATAACAAACTTCACCTTCCTAGACAATAATAAAAATAAGAGTTTCTGGTTATGTTACGTTGCTTAGACAATCGTGCCTTTTTCTCTTGTCACTTTTTGCCAGCATCATCTTCAAATCGTAATCTGTTCATGTTCATGTACGGGTACAGTGGAAGTCCTGCAGCTGGTTATCAATTTATGGAGTGTTATTAGCGGCGCAGTATGTGACTTATTAGAAGTAAATTATGTTTTAAGACACACAGGCTTAAGAGATTTAAGATTCACCCACAAGACCAGCAGCTTATTCGTTCACAATCAAAACATAACATGTTCATTGAGTTAAAACGATCTTAATTTTCCATTAATTTCTCATTTAAGTTGCACTAATCCTGCGGCGATCTTGGAGAGGGTTTGAATAGTGCGAGTAGAGAAAGCACATGAAACCATCGATATTGCAGCTTTCAGTGACCCTTTGACTCCAAAGAATGACCAGCCTCTAATTTCTCCTTACAATATCACCCCTGAATCACTTATTAGGGTCATGAGAATAAAGGAAATGATCACCAGCTTCAGAAGCTTCCGATAGATGAAAAAATTCTCATTTCCACCACCTCAGAAAATATGAAGAGAAAAGTTTGGAGAAAATGGTTACTGATCTTAGGGTGTTAAGGGTTTAGCAAGAAGAACATTGGTTTTAAGAGTCAAAGATGTTTTTAACACCGCTTGAAAACTGTGATAAATATAATTACTCCTTTTATATTTTTCCTCAGTTGGATATTGGTAACCGAAGAAACACTCAATATGCAAATAGAGAGTTCTTTAAGAAGATAAGTCACAAAAGACGTAGAAGAGAGGATATTAAAACCTTAAAAAGTTTAAGGCTAAATGTCATTATCAAAGCAACTGCGCCCCTAGCCCTCCCTAGCGCGTTATCAGTTGACTGTTGCTGGGTTAGGGGAGGGGACGGGTGGGCGTGCTGTTGTTGTGACACTAACGTTGATTTAAGTTTTCACTAGTGTCATGGCACCCTCGCCATATAACGAAATGAAGCTAATTTAACATCCAGTGAGGCCAGAAAAAAATCCCCAGAAAGTAAGAGCGTTTAAAGATTGTATACACTTGTGGAAAATAATAGTAGTGAAGGTGGAGAAAGAAATTTGTTCTCCAAAATATGTTCACTTCAGGGTTGCATGAACAAGAAAAGCGAGAGCGAGCAGTATGTTCCAGTTCGTTTCACTGAGTCGTCCTGGATGGTTGTGGCAAAATTCTCCGAGACAAAAACAACACAAGTTGACGTCATTGAAGTAGAGATATTGGTTTTTTTTTTTTTTTTTTTTTTTCATTTGCTTTGGTTCAAGCCCTGAATCAAACAGTTAACGAACTTGTTATCAACCGAAAAGTACTATAATGTAGTTTCGCCGTTAACATTTTGTGGAAATATTTTTGATGTTGCAATTTTTTTTTGTGGAATGAAGTTTGAGTCAGATTGCAGTGGAAAACCACTTGCGTGTAAAATGATCATAGATACAGCTCTGACACCCGATAGTGGTGTCAAAAGGGCAGGTGATCGTAAAATCCGAAACGATTTTGAAATTATCTCCATCGGCTTTGTTGCATTGTCGCGGTCCATGGCCGTTATTTCGACACGAAATTGTTTCGGAAAAGTGCGTTTCCCGCAAACTCTTACGGGAAGAATTTACAACTGATTTTCTTATACGTTTACAACCTAATCGCCCTGCAGATCCTTGAGTTATAGAAAAATATCGTCTATTGTAATGAAATGCAAATGTTAGAATCTTGTCACAACAGAAACGGCTCAAATCAAAACACTGATCACAACTGAAATCTGCATGTTCGTCACTTGCCTTCGACGTTACCATAGTTTCAAGTTATCCTTTTTTTATCAGAATCTAATCCGTGCATCTACAAGGATCGGAATTATCGTGGAAATGTTTTGACTTGCAGGTGCTGATGTTATTGTTACCATTGACGTCAGGAACAGGAAGAGTCGCATAATTTTAGTGGCAGATTGTCCAGGAAAAATATTTGAAACAGATATACAGTTATTCAGTCCGTCTTTGTCAGTTTTAGAACAAGCGAGTGTCATAGAATTGATGATAAAAAACATTGTCAGGCGTCACAATTTAACGAATTGCTTCATTGAAGAGCAATTCGTCTTTCGTGCAGGATGTCAAAACTACTCATGTCACGTGGTATCAAGGACATGAACACCAGCCAAACGAAATTTCATCTTTTGTGTTTAACCAAAGTGACATCTGCACTCAACGGGTGAGGATGAACAAGATTTCTGCATCTAAAAAGACTGTAAGTTTGTATTTTTATCTGTAAATATGTTCTATGTAAGATTTTTCTTTAAGACTTTCTCACCCTTAGATGGCGAGTTCTGAGTAAAATTTTCGGTATTTAACAATTTTCATTTATTTTCCTTTGCACTGTCATGTCTCTCGTTTCCGATCAAACAAGCCTATATTCTTGCTTGTGATATAGATATTTGTCGAATGTGAGTCCATAATATCGTAAAATAATGCAAAGGGAAGTTTACAAAGCGATCTCAGTTAGAACTTCTTGTTGTCAGATTTGTCACAACTCATTCAGCTGGGCTTCAGCTGAGCTATTATCAAAAGCGGTTGTACTTGACAGGATCACGTACAGTTTATTGTTCTAATCCCAGTTTCATCCGTAATCAATATTTTCGATGAATACAGCTCAGTTTCCCGAATAAAAGTCTAGCAGTCTTTCTCAAATATTTCCATGCTTTGAAATTAAACTTCTGCAGCGAAATTGCAGAAGTCATTTGCCTCGGGATTGTCTAGTATCTTGCGTCCACGATTAAATTTGACTCATAATTCATAGCTTTGATATTCATGGGCTGTGAATTATTTTTGCTCGTTTTATCTTTTATAATTATTATTTCTGGATATTATTGTTTTGGGATGGGTTTTACTGTCCGCGGTGAACTTTAATCCTTCCATCCCCAAGATCTTATTGTCAATTCTCCTCTCTAGCTGCTACACATTTCCTTCAAAATTAGTTACAAGAATTCGGTGTTAGATCAAGATAACTTTTTTTTAATCATTTCCCTTTTTTTTTCCAAACTATGGATTGCATTTTGCCCTAAAACACACTGCTAGGCTTCTAGCTATTTGTCCTGACATTTAATCCTTTCGATGACCTCAATGTGCTTTGAAATAACAGCTTCGTTGGACATAATGCCGGAAACGAAGATTTTCATCGCTGCTTTTTGACAAGCTATAATGTAATCTCGCACCCAGACTTTCCACGGCCAAGCGGTTGTGAGTCACAGCTACACGGTAGGATCTGGATACGAGAATGGGTCTAACGCAAACTTGTTATCTGTTTTTCGTCGGTTTTTCTGCCGCACACAGAGCCGTGATTGTAAGGCACATTTAGCAAAAGGCAATGTCATTCACTTTGACCTATAGAAATCTCGATGTGTTTGCTTGCAACGTATTATTTTGATGATACCGGAACGCACTTGAACAGTATTAAATATTGACGGTTAAGAATATATACACAAGTATTAAATATTGTTGCTGAAGAGTAAACCCACCAGAACAGTATTAAATATTGTTGATGAAGAGTAAATTTAAGATGCACTTCAGCGAGTCCATCAAGACTTTCCTTTAAAGTTTATTTTATATCACCAATAAGACCGCACTTTCCATCGGTTTATTGGCGAAATAACCCCCTTGGGATTTTGAAAGAATATGAGAAATGTTTTTAAATCACTTGACTATGTTTCATTGGAGAGACTATGGAAAAATTACAATACATTTAGGTTTTCGAGGTCACTTTGTGACCAACGCCTAAAATGAAATATATCATGGTGAACGTATCTGACTATCAGTAACCCGGTTTGAACCCTATGAAGTCTGAGTTCCCGTCATGCTCGTAACAGGACAGTTTACCCGTCGTGCCTGTGTTGTTGGCTAATATTCCTCTAAAAAGACTGTTTGGTTTAATTTCTTGGGAAAAATAGCAAACTATCATAAATTTTATTCGTGAATAAGTTTACCGTTTACTGATAACTTTGGGTTCATTAGCTTTTTAAGCAAAATTAGTCGATCACATCCCCAAATGATCATTGCTAGTGATAGTCATGAGTTCTTTCGTTTTTCAGTCTTTTGGACTCAATAAAGATCAATGTGCTCATTGTTCAATTTGACGTCAAAACACTCGCTGAGGGTGCTAATCAATGTTATTGTCTTTTTTGGCATTGAAACACGCAAGTTCCTCAGGGCAATCTACATGTCATTCAGCTGGAGATCAAAGTACTCGTGTGCTGATGAGAAATATCATAAAAACTTCTGATTTTTGTTTTAATTTTATTTTTTTAGTTTTTATTTCAGTCTAGCTTATTTCTTTTATTCGTGAAAACGAAAAAAATTAAATAAAAGACGAATACGAGTACTCTATTGAGAGTATCGTGTTTATATGCACGAAAAACAAATCATCACGGCAGAATGCTTTCAATATTTTGAAAAAAATAGATTAAATAAAATAAATAATTTTATCATGTTAAACCTGAAAGCAGCGGGAAAATGCTTTACACCTGACAATTCTCGGTAAGTTTTCAATCTTTGATTTTAAATGTTGGCGTGTTTCTGTGCACGAAAATGAGAGAATGTAGACGTGACTTCATTAGAAAGCTTTACAAGGCTCCATGCAGATTAGAGCTTATTTTTTTCAATAAAAGACATCTGTGTTTCGCCAGAATCGCCTACCAGAACACTAGTTTAGTTTTTCAAGTGGATCATCACATTCTCAGAAACTCTTTGGTTTCCATAAAACAAAGCTACAATAATTTTCTTCTCGCGTTTAGCGGATTTCTTAACGTGCATGCAGCTACTTGGCCTTTTGGACTAGAATCGGATCACTTACCGATCGCCGCTGCAAAATGTCTGCGCCTGCGTGAGCATTTCCAGTCAAGGCACGTGCTGATTTGCTCTCCCATCTGAGCGCCATTCTTATCTTAAAAGAGCATCTTCTTGGATTGAAATAAATATTTTTTACAGTCCGATGACAAAAGAATCGAAGCCCTCGAGGAGATTCGAGAAAGAAGGTCTTCAGGTGACGCGGGTGTATACCCAGATTTAGATAATTTTTAACTTAAACGATTTGTTTTTAGTTTTTGTTAACAAAACAGTCACAAAATAGTTTATAGTTTATGAAAGCAGCACAGAAAATTAAATTAAATTCTCTGGCGCTGACGAACTTTTTTCCATTTCGTGTCTGGTACTTTAGCTATAATAAATCAAATCAATGTCATTTTTTATTTCAATAACAAAACCTAAAAAAACATTTTCGATAGAGGAGCACTTAAATATCTTCAAGTTCATTCCTTTAAAAACAATTTTTATTTCGTGTCTGTATCCAATGCACGTTAGAGTTTGTTTTTGCTCAATGGCATGTTCGAGAAGAAAGACGAGAAAAACATAAACAGGTGGAAGTTTTTATAGGTTGAATAGCCTGTGAGTTTTTCTCAAAATATTTCGTGTTGTTTTGAATTTCCGAGCCGAAAAAGTTGTTGCACCAGCTGATAAATATGTCAGCTTTATTCCGGTCAGGCAGCTGTACACAACTTGAGGGACTGTTGTTCCGAAATTTGATAATAGTTGATTTAAAAACGGTCAATATTCGTTCCCTTTCTCTTTCTTTAAATTTGAGCTCAAGAGTAACTTTCAGATTCCTGTCTTGGGTGTAAAACCTCAGCGTAACATAATGAAAGCTGGTGACCTTAAGCGCTCTATTTCAGATCAGAACTGATAAAAAAAGATATCTATGTCTCTTCGTTGCCAAATAAGTCGGCTAAACATACTCCATTATAAGATAAACAAAAATGATTTATGACAATAACGGGGTAATTTAATATTATCAACTGAGTTGATAACGTAAATTGGCCACTGTAAAGAGTTTCAAAGCTGACGTTTCGAGCGTTAATTAATTTTTCTGGGCTTACGTTAGCTTTGAGACTCTTTACGGTGGCCAATTACGTTATCAACTCAGCTGTGATATTAAACACGTTACCCCGTTACACTCTCCCATCGACGCAGCACCACAGTTTCTCTAGAAACTTACCCCCTTTATTCATATGACAAGAACAACCCACTGTAACTAGTGGCTCGTCCTGTCAAGAGGTACATTCGTAAACCATCAGAAAAAATTGATCGTAATTTCTCCCGGGAAATCAAGGAACAAATATATGTCTGGAACTTGTCAACAAATCAAATGATATTTTTAGCCATTAGTTCAGGCAAGGCGCCCTTGAGAGTGAATCGATAGACCGTGAAAGGGAAAAACCCCTTTTCCTCTCCATTACCTGCCGTTAGAAATTGGTTTCAAAGCCTAAATCCTCGTTGTTTTTGAATGAGGCAAAACATTTTTATCGGATAAAATCCATCTCACTGTTTTGTTTTGTGACTGATCTTTTGGCTTGAAGAGGTTTCAAGGAAAACAAAGGATTAAATCTCGCAGGTAATGTTTAAAATCTCACTTATTGAAAGGACTCGGGGTGCTTATTCAAAACATTCTTCATTGAGCACCAAGTCATGGCAAAAATTAGTCGAGAGAAAAAGACAAGAATGAAAATTTCAACATTATTGTATTGGTCTTGGTGAAGTTACTGATTTCGCCCGAACTTGCCCTCATCAAAATTCAATATTGCTTTTGTGTCCTTGCCGAAAATGGAGTGAAAAAAATGCATTACAATGAGAAGCACAAAATATTCAAACAGCAAACTTTGGACTGGAAACAAGCTGTTGTTTCGGTTTCACGCCTCCCATGGGTGTATTGGGGGTGTGTCTGAACAAAGATCACATGATCGAACACAAGTTCTTTGATTAAACCAAAAGTGACCTGAAACAAAGCAAGAGAGCGGGCACTATGCCAAGTTTTAAATCTCTTTTGTTTATGAGTTTTTAAAATTTATTACGGTGGAACAAAGCATGTTTACAAATCACTCCTTGAATCAAGGAAGAGAGAAAGAAGTTATTCAATGATCGGTAAACCCAAACATCCTGGCTGAACAACCGCACACAGCTAATTTTAAGGCATTCAATGACAGAGCTCCAAAATTGTCTGAGAAAGTTCAATCTGTTTTGACTTCTTCTTTAGCTGGCTTAGCTCGATTCTGTCAATTTCCGTTACCAATGCGTTTAAATCCGAATTAGTAGGGCCATGAAAAACTTGAGAGCAGGGAAAAAGCTTGTCAGAGGCAATATCGTTGGAAAAAACAAGGTAGGTGGGTGAACTGTGATATCGGTCACGCAGTTTATTATATTTTTTCCGATCAAGTCTTCGATGAAATCAGCAAGAGCGGCCAACCTTCAATCGATCAAGTCTTCGATTGATAAAATCAGGCGCGTTGCTCGGAGATGTTGTGAGCGCGATGAAAGCAATTTTGATCCGGCAGAATCAACCATGAGTAAGTCACCGTCCGGAGCGTCACGTTCGCGGTTACAAGCGGGCACGTAGTTTGTTTAAAATCCGTTTGCACATGACTCCCTGCATGTAAATAAAAACTCCTTTTATATTGCAGATAGTAATCGTTGTAGGGAAAAATCATTGACACAAAAAGATCTTTTAGAAGTCAAGGATTTTTTTTTTCTCTTTGGATTATACCTTGGTGTTTTTAAATTTATTTTCAACTGAAATACTTCTAAAGGGTTTTGATCATGAAACTAATCTTTGTGACAGACTACTTAGCCTTGTGTCAGATTCAGCCTATCAGCTGCAAGGGAAAGCATTTAATCATGTTCCTCGCTTTGTATGTTGTTTTTTCCGAAAAATCACAAGTCTTTTGTTTAATACTTGCAGAATAACAAAGCGCCCTGGTTCAAAGTGAGTTCTTTGTTAGAATTCTCATGAATATTCGAGACTATTCTTCGAAAGTGATTACAGAAGTCATTAACTTGGATATGCCTTTTTTAGCCGTCATCTGGGTTTTGATTCATGATGTCAGTGCAGTGAATGATGAATTGTTCTGGAAGCCAATCAGAAGGCGAGATTTAAATTAAGAACGTGCTTAGTGTGAATTTGCATGATGAGTGTGTGACGTCATAGAGATTGTCAAAGGCTATAAACCCTTGTACGGGTAAAGCCAATCTGTGCTTTTATGTCGCACGGTGTGGAATAAAGGTTGTTGTGAGAGATTGAATTGGGAAAAGCTGAATTCGACCAAGATGTGCAAAGGAAATTCAAAAGCCCCTAGCTCTAGCTTGGTAAGTGATCGAGGTTGAAATTGATTTTAGTTTAAAGACCCTGGCTCTTCGTTCGAATTTTCTTTTCAAGCGAAGAGACGTATTGGGCACGTATTTATAACGTCAATTTCTGTTCTTCGCTGTTGTTCAGTATTTAAGAACCGCATTAACTGGCAACATAGCGATCACCTTCGAAGGCATTGCAAAACCTGTAGCATTTAAGAGCGAAACTCTTTTAATTTGGAAAAGGAGTCTGATTAGTTGATAATTTAAAGTAGCGATTTCAAAATTCGCCAACTCCGTTCGGAAACTGCTGTGTTAGCGCGATTAATATCGAAAGTGTTTGCGTTTGCAATTTTTTTTTGTGTGTTTGGAAGTCCGTGGAGTTGTTACTTTGCTTCGAAATTTTATTTCCTAGTTTGAATTATCCAATCGGACGCGGGTACGTGACCAAAATTCTCGGTTTGTAATTTTCAGCACAGGCTTTCTGGGGTCTTGCAGAATATATTGGCAACAGGCCAGACGTGTTTCATCAGGTGATGGACATATCTGTTGATTGAGCCTTTTCTTTTACCTGCTGAGGATCCTATTCTTGAAATTAAAGTGGTTTTCGATTACATCGAATGATTTGTCGAATGTGGCCTCGCGCGCTCGAAGTTCTCTCTTCATTCTGCTGCGGACGTTCGTGAAGCTAGGCTGTTGTTGAGTGGAGGTCCTCAGCTATCACTGTAAACGTTTAAATCGACCTGAGGCTTCTTCTGCAACTGCTATAAAAATATCAGGGAGACTTTTTCAGAGTTGAGATCGCAGTCGCAATTTTCCTACGCTTCGAGAAAAGACTGCGCTTTCTTCCCCAGGCAAGGAAATTTTTTTCGACCTGCGGACGTGACCGAAATTTGGACAAATACTAAATTATTAACACTTTACAGCGAGGTGGTATGAAAATCAAGAGTCACAAAACCAAATGAAATTGGAAATGGGCAACAGAAAAATTTCTTTTGCAAGTTCTCTTGCATCAGCCCTTTTCTTGGACGAAGTCGACTTTGTTCATGGCAGCTGAGAAATCACATTCTGCACGTTCAAAACTCGTGATTGATGTGTTTTTCTGATGTAATGTTTCAATTGATGCAGTTCAGTGTTTATTGTGAGTAGATCTTTGTATTGAGCCATCTTCCTTATCACGTTTTCGTCTTCATTCCAGGTTTGGGATTTGCAGAGTACCAAAGCTCCGAACGGTATGAAAATCGTATTGTTCGCGGATTTTATGTCTAGCAGTCATGGCCTAAACCAAGCGCAGTACATGTTGAAACAACTTTGCAACGAAGGACATCAAATAACTTTATTTGGTGAGTAGAAATGCTAACGATTCCAAGGTTTTTTTTTTTACCTCGCCTCTTTCACTTTGGAAGGGAAAAATCCCAGCGTAATTTTATTTGTTCGAAACTGGCCAAGATCCAAACTCGGAAAGTAAACAAATTTTATGGCAATCGAAATATGGTTTGCATATAGAACCAACCCTTAGGAGTATAATCTAAGAAAGCCTTGATTATGTGAAGACAAAAAGTGTTTTGTGAGGCAAAATTAAATCAAACCGAGTGGTTGCGAAATTTTCCTCTTTAAATTACATATAATGTCCAAAAATAACGTTCTTCACTCGTTTTGCCTCAGTGGGTTTTCACAAAAACGTGGAAGGTTTAAGGACCTCGTGACTATTTGCAATTCAAATAGATACTATCAGCTCCAAAGGAAAGAGAGTTTATTTCTATCTATGCTTGCGGGTTTCAAGGAAGCTTTTCTGGGGCGGGTTCGGCTTTCCGATTAGGTGAATTGTTTCCAAACCTGAAACGGATGTTGGAGGTTGCTTGTTCCGACATCTGTGAAACGGCCGACATTTCTGACACGTCTGATTGTTTGTGAGAACTGTCAAAATAAAATTGAATATTGCTAAACCGTTGGAAGTGTACAAGTGTCTTTTCAAATGTTGCAATTACTTCGTCACGAAAGCTATGTTTTTACAGTTGTATTTTGTTCGCTTTCTTTGTGTTTTGATCGATCTGATGATCGAGGGGTGATGTTTATGTATTTCTTTGCCACGTATCAAGAATTACCGGAAGTATATGCAAAGTTCAGTGAAATCACTGTGTATTTTAGGCTTCCGGCAGCAATTCTAAATACTTCTGGTTACACAAAACTCCGCCTGCCTCGTCTAGCTTTTTCTATTTGCGGGTGGAGATGGCAAAATGATTTGCATGAAATAAAGTATAGTGTGAATGAATGAAGGCCATATTTCTTAAAAATTCTGATGATTATTTTTCTGATCTCGAATTGTCACCTGTTTTCTGTGTAGAATGTGCAAATGTCAGTGTGCCTTTGCTGATGTATGAAGACACTCAAGCCTGCTTGTGCCAAACTTATGAGGAGCCATTGAAAGTATTAGAGAGGAAAGTTGCTGAGGCAGATGCCTTTCTTCTGGTAACAGACAGACCAGGATTTCAGATTCCATCTTCACTTGCAACAGTCAAACATCGCTTTACAGGGAACAACTTCACCTGGAGACCTTATGGAGTACAATGTGTGCTTCTTGGAGGCTCTGTTCACAGTCGCAAAGTTGCAATGAGATTACGAGTCCTTCTTGAAGGTTCTGACTACCCTTACATGTCTGGGGTGCTTCCTCGGAGATGTTCTTGGACGCAGATGTACACAGTGGACCCAAGTCTTGAAACACCTGGACCTTGTGTACTATAAGACTTTGCCAAATCTAATACTCTCTTAGCTTGTTGATACTTATTTTCTTCTATGTTCATAAGCTTAGACTTGTGCTTGTGCACTGAAGATGTCCCAAGTTCAGTAAGTTACAAGCATTCAAGCTTAGTTTCTTCTTCATTCGTACCTTTTTTTTTTTTTTGTTACTGTTACTTAAATATTCTTAAAATGAAGCAAAAATTAAAGAAAAAATCAGAAAAAAGATGTAAAAAGACCACAGTATCAAGGTTTGGGTTTTGTAAATTATGTCTGACTCTACCATATTGGTATTAATGTAAAATAGAGAGTTTTATTGCAAATTGTAAATAAAGGGAATAACTTTTATATTGCAATTCTTGTTTATATTGTTTGGGTGAGAAAGGGAAAGAAAAGCATTAACTCCCAAACCCCAAGAGTGAGGAGCATCTGACTTCTCCCTAAAATATCACCACTGAATCACACCTTAAGACCAGAAGAATAAAGGAAATGATAACCAACCTAAGAGCTCTCATTTGTTAAACAAACTCTTCTTGCCTGCATCACACATTGAGAACCGCACGGAAATGTGCATACTGATGTTAAGATGTTAAAGGGTGACTAGGATGTAATTTTGCCCAACAAATTTTTACCTTTGAGAAATACAAACTCCACAAGCTCTTATTAATAGACAAAATTTCCAACTCTACCAAAGGGAAATGTTTAGAGACCATTATGGATAATATTCAAACAAATATTTGGGTTTAAAAATTAAGGGGACTTGCTCCAAGGTTTCCGACACACTCTTAATGAGGAAGTAATGAAACTTCTTCCTCTACTACTGAAGAGTCGTACGTGTGTTTCGGATTCTTTTGATGAAGAGCGCCACGGGGATTCTAAAATTACACACGCAGGATTCTCGCTCCACCCGTGGGCTTCCGTGTGTGTATCTCGCGCAGGTTCGCGAGTATTTTAAGTACGCTTACACTGCCCGAGATCGGTTTTCATAACTTTTCTGCTTCGGGTTGTGATCACGAGCAAATAACTATTGCTGTTTTCTAGGCATGTCGAAAATTCTTCAGTGAACTAAAACGAATCTAATCTCGTTTACGCCGTCTTAAAAAATTAACAACATCGCTAGTGTACTTGCGGACTTTGATTCCCTATTTCCTAGTGACCTTTGATTTCCAGTGGACTTTGTCAGCTTTGTTTACAAGCGAAAATTGCAAAGTATAAAAAGAATCGGATTTCTCAAAGATCTGATGACCAGTTCAACCGAAAAATGGAACAATAAACGATACAGAACAGGTGTTCGTATTTCTTTCCCTTAAACACATTCATGGCTTATTTAGGCAAAAAAAAAAAAAACAAAACCAAACAAAAAAACGAATGTTGAGCCAGCGCAGTACTATTTGTAACATGAAAAGGGAGGAATGTCTAAAAATAACAAGGTGATCCATATGTCACACTGTCTATTGAGTTTACGTGACGGCCTCTATGATCACAGGACTCGAGGCGAACCCGGATATTGCGTGGGTGTACAAAACAGTAATGTGGTTTTTTTTTTTCGTCCTTTCCGGGTCGGTATTGCAAATACTTCCAACACGTGTGCGTAGGAGGCAAAAGATGAGTGATAACGTGCAAATGATTTGAGATTCCTTCTTAAATCTAAAATGTAAACCAGGCAAAGTCCCTCTTTTTCGGCGAAATCCTTAGTGCAGAACTCTTTCCAAAGACGCGAAATCCCTCCGCGCGGAACTCTTGTAGTGAGGTGCAGCGTAATAATACTTTCTCTTTTTGGTAGATTTTTTTTAACTGCCGAAGGACCTCACCCAAAATGAGGGACTGCTCGTAGTCTATCTAAACTGAAAAAAGTGATCAGACGTATTCATATACTAGTTTGAGAAGTAAAGGTTTATGTTAGAAGCTATGTAGGTGATGCACCCATTTACTTTGCTAGACCTAGGTCTGTTGAACGGTTTGGGCCAACAAAACTACCTTCGTGCGCGTGGGATGGTAATTTGGCTCGACCGATTCTTTCTTAGGAGAGGAGTTTCCTTTTTCCCTTTTTTTGCCATTCACCACTCTCAGTTTTCCAGGAGAGTTTTCTTAGGCGCGCGACAGTTTACATAAATTTGATGAACGACATGTGCAAGTAGGGTGACTGTGCTACGGACCCTACCGCTGATTTTTTTCCTTTGCAAGTCTATTTTTGGCATGTTACAGTATTTTAGGAATAGCGTCTCACACAGATCCCACCTGATCTTTGGCTCGAGGGCGGCTTTGTTAAAAAAATTAGCTGCTTGTGGCCTCCTGGAAACTAATTTTACTAGCGACATCCGATTAAAAGCCCTTTCCTGCGTGCACAAAACGTATTTATTTTAAAATAACGGATGTTTCGGCCCAGCCTAGAGTTTGAAATTTTCGGGGGGAATGTGGCCTTGCGAGGACAAACGTTCTTTACAGTGTTTTGTTTCCGACCAGCGGTGTTTGAAATATAAATCGAAGCAACGAAAAAGGAGTCTGCTATCTTGCTCTAGCTTTTGAGAGGCATCCTACGACCAAACATACATGTTTTAATCCTTTACACCATAACATCAGTATTTATATTCTCCACGCAGGACTCTTTACATTTCCTGTGATAATTGCAGAAGAAATTTCTTAACAATCAGGAGTGTCTAAAAATGGTTTTTTTTCTACAATTCTCGTCATCCTTTACATTCGATTTCAAGGAGATACTGAAAGGAGAGATAAAAAGAAAGTCACTCTCAAGGGGTTAAGTGAAGGGTTGGAAAAATTGTGGCTATTACGCAAGGCATATGAAACACTAAGGGGTATAGAGATCAGTAAAAAAAAAAGTATAAAAGCTGTAAACTTATGAAACCGCAGGAAAAGAGCGAAGCTTTGTTCAGACCAAGCAAAGAGCAGTTTAGGATGGTTACCCTGACTAGGAAGGCAAATCTTGGAAGTCAGTGCATAATTCTGGAGAATTCTTGATCGGATGAGTCCGGAAATGAATAATTCTATCTTTTCCTCATTTCTTTTTTCTGTCATCAGAACGGGTGGTTTAACCTATTTTTAAATCAACCCTTGGATTTTGGTCTGTTGAGCGAGGAGGGAATCTTCATGTGATTTGCAACAGGAAATAAATTACGAGGGTGGTTTTATCCTGTGTTGGTAAAGAAAGATAATTTCCAGGTACCAAATATGTTTCCTTGCTCATGTGGCCTGGAATATCAATCAATCTGTGGTAATAAGATTCCAGCTAAAGCTCAACAGGATGTCAAAATTAACAGGTAGCTTTGAAGCAGGCCTGTATTTGAAGGGTAGACGTTCACAGAGTTAATCTTTATTTACACCTCATAGAAAGGCGAAAATATTACACATCACTGTTGAGTCTGAGATACGCTGAAATTAAGTGTATTTTCCGATTGCTATCACACGCATTGGTTGTCATCTAAGACTCTAGAATTGTTAGCCTGTTGGTGTTTAGAGATAATGGAATGAAAGCCATCTTGAAGTGTGTCCAGTTTTGAAGTGGGCGTTGAAAGGGCTGGCCCCCTAGCCCTTTGGGCGCGTGAGTCACGACATGCACGCACATTGCTAAATTCTTGGTTTTCACGTGACGTCACAGTATATGCAAATTAGGCGTCCGCCATATTGGTGTCGCAAAAGCTTATTAGCATATGTCAAAATGCAGTGTTTTGGTGCATGATTCTTTAAAAGTATGTCGCGTGATTTGGACAAAATTTCTGAAAACATCAAAAAGGAAGAAAAAAAGGAAGATATTTGCAATATACCTTTAAGCGACTATGTTAAAAGACTAGAGCCACATGTTAAACAAAGGTATTTAGAAAAAATATCACTCGTGGGGATCGATCCCGCTACATTGATCGACGCAAAGTTAGATCCACAATGTTTACCACCCATAGAAGCTACAGATCTCCTGTGCTATTTGGTTATCGATACCAGTTATTACACAAAGAAACAGTTCAAAGCTTTCAAAAGCTTGGAGGCCTACAATCAGATGGTTTCGGGTTTTATTTCCAGTGTTGAAGGCAAAGTCATAGGTGAAAAATTCGTGGTGATCGGAAAGGTGAGACATTCTCAACGAATGAATGAGCGACCATTTGCAGTTTGGATTATTACTAATAAGGAGGGAACCGTGTTATCAGCCCACTGCCTTGGTTGTAAAGCTGGACTAGCTGAGACTTGCTCACATATTGCAAGTATTTTATTTCATATCGAAGCTTCAACGAGAATTAATGAAACGCTGGTATGTACTCAAGTAAAGTGCACGTGGTTGTTACCGACATATGTGAGTGAGGTTCCTTATGCTAGGGTCAAAGATATCAACTTCAAGTCGGCGAAAAAGTTGAAAGATAACTTAGATGCCTGTATTGAGGGACTATCAGCAAACTCTCCACCTTCCTTATCAGCACCTTGCACTACAAAGAAAGCTAAGGTCTCGACAGAACGGGTTACATCTGGAGGAACTGAGCTTAAACATTTGCTTGCCAAAATAAATGAGTGCAAGTTCAAACCTGTTGCCTTAAGCTTGATTGAACCCTATTCTGAACAGTTTATCATGAAAAGTAGAAGTATCCCAACCATTTCTGACCTTTTTGATCCATGTAATTTTGACTTGTCATATCCAGAACTCCTAGAAAAGTGTGAAAATATTGATCTGACTATTTCAGAATCACAGGTAGAATTAATTGAGCAAGACACCAGGGAACAGGCTAAAGGAAATGCATTTTTTCAGGCACAGAGCTGGGCGCATTGGTGCATCTCTGAGTTGGGCAGTAGCTCATACTAACCCTGCTATGCCATCACAATCCTTAATCAAGTCCATCTCATATCCTGATCTGTTCAAAGTTACTACTAAAGCAATCAGTCATGGCCGTAAGAATGAGAGTGCTGCAGTGAATGCTTATACCAAGACTATGCTAGAGACTCACAGAGATCTGAAAGTTGAACAATGTGGTATGATAGTGGATAAACAGCACCCCTGGATAAATGCTACTCCAGATTTTTTGGTATCATGTTCATGCTGTGGGAATGGTTGTGGAGAAGTCAAATGCCCTTACAAAATTGAAAACTGTGACCTTGAAAGTTATGTGGAAAAGAAGAATTCATGTCTTGAAAAGGTCAATGGAAAGGTACAGCTCAAGAGAAATCACCAGTACTTTTTTCAAGTACAGCAACAGTTGTTTATCACAGACTCTCAGTATTGTGACTTTGTTGTTTGCTCTTTTGACAATAACAATCAAACAAGGTTTTTCTTGGAGAGAATTTACAAGGACATTTCACACTGGGAATCAGTTCTTCCAAAACTCACCAAAGTATGGAGATCTTGTATCCTACCTGAAATCTTAGGAAGATGGTACACTAGGAAGCATAAAATTGCTGCACCTGTACCAGCAGGTGATATAAAGCCTGTTTGCTACTGCAGAAAACCCAAACCAGAAGAAAGCACAGTGCCTTGTCAAAACCCCAAATGCCCATTCATTGAGTTTCACCTCTCATGTTTAGGGATATCTGATCCCTTACCCAAAGTATGGTACTGTCCAAGCTGCCAGTTACTTCCAGAATGTAAGAAAACCAAGAGAGTTACTAAGATCAAGCCTGATTGTCAAAAGAACCCTGATTTCGATGAAGCAATGAAATTACAGTCCATTTGTGTTTGCAAAGCTAAACCTGTTGTAGGGGAAAAGCTGCTGAAATGTCATAGTCAATGTCAGAGTGGGAAATTTTTCCATCTGAAATGTCTAAACTACAAGAGGATGCCCAATAACAGCAAGCTATATTGGGTCTGCAAAAATTGCAAAGTGAAGAAAAAACCTGTAGACAAGTCTTCATTAACTATCCCTACCACATGTTCTTCTTATACCACCAGTACTACATGTACTGTTAATAATCCATCAGCTTCAGTTGTGTCTGGAACTGAATATGAAAGTGACAAGGACATAGAAATACCCTGTGTGACTGAAAGCAGAACAGCTTCTGAATCTTTTGAAGATCTACATGAAAATGAGTCAAATAAATACTGTACTGGAGATGAATATGAAAGTGATGAGGACTTAGAAATAATCTGTGTGACTAAAGGTGTAGCTAACAGAATTGCATCTTTTGGAGATCTAGATGAGCATGACTATGACATAATCTCATCTCCTGGTGGCTGGTTGGATTGCAAAATAATACAGGCAGCACAAATATGCATCAAGAAAGTAAATCCTCTCATTGAGGGTTTTCAAGACCAACTCTTGGAAGAGTAAGGAACTTTGACATAATGACCAGTGACTTTGTTCAAATCTTACACACGGGTAATTCACATTGGGTGTGCATTAGTTCTATTGGTTGCACATCAGGATGTGTTAATTTGTACGACAGTCTGTACAATGACATTATTGATGATGAAGTTGAGCAGCAAGTTAAAGATCTGCTACCAAATAACTTTGTTGGCATTGAAGTTGTACCAGTGCAGCAACAAATGAATGGCAGTGACTGTGGCGTTTTTGCTGTAGCATTTGCAACATGCCTTGTGTTTGAACTCAACCCTTCAGATTTTATGTTTGACATCCCAAGAATGAGACCACATTTACTTGAATGTTTGAGAGCTGGTGAAATCAAAGTTTTTCCACATTTTTGAATACATTTTACACTAAAAATGTTGTTTTGTTGTTTCATGCTAATCTCAAGAGTAGCAGTCATTAAAAAAAAATCCAAGAAGAATAATGAACTCAAGCTATTTTAAGCAGCTGTGCTCAATAAACAGTCCTTACTGCCCCCTGCAAACATAATTTATATTTTAATTCTTATAATTTTTGTAAATATATGTAATATCACAGCACAAATAAAATGTTGTCATTGTTGTCGATCCTTCTTGTAATGGAAGTATATTTTTTTAAATTATTAATGTTACACAGTGCTCATTCCCAGTCACTTGCTCTCTTTTCATGGGGTTATAATATTTCTTAAATTATACACAGACTCTCCACCCCATCATATCATTTCATTAGCTACAATATATGACTATAACAGTACTGTATGAGGTATGGAGCTAATCAAATGGTACAATGGGTGGACACAGGTTTACAAGAGCTGAACATACTTTAATAATTCTGTCAATAATTGGTACTTCATCCTGTCCATTGTCATTGTTCAAGAAATCAGTGGGAAGAGTGCTTTGAAGAATAGTATACTTGCGACGCAGCAAACCAATCACCCTCTCAACATGTATCCGTACACTTGCTAGAGCTCTTGTTTTTTCCACATCAATAGGATCCAGCTGTTCCCTCCCTTTCGTGTAGGCTGGTATCACAAGTCTTGCCTGTTTGAGAGCAACACTTTCTGTGATTGTGAAACCCCGGTCTGCCATAACCATGTCACCTGGCAAAAGTTTTTCAAGAATGCCACAGTTTTCTGTCAAGAACTTATCAGAGGTACGTCCTCCCCATGCCTCTGACACAAAGGAAATAGCTCCTTGGGGAGAAATACCAATCAGTACTTTGATAGTATTGTGATGCTTGTAGGATGAAAATGTCTGAGCTCGAGCTAACAAGTTTGTAGGCTTATCAATAAAAATCTCAAAACAGTCAATAACAACAGTGACTTTGGTTCCAAAGGCTTGCTGGAAACAAAGAGGCATTGTCTTCCATAGCTGGTGTCTTTCAGGCCAGTAAATAAGTGGGGACAAATGCTGATCCATCACTGTTAACCATGATGAAAATATTCTTGATATTGTTGTCACAGATACTTGAAAACGATAGGCTAAGTCTTGATAAGGCATATTCAGTCTCAGTTTCATCAACACGATAATCATTTCCTGGAAAAGGCTAAGTTTTTGGGTTCTTCGTTTGATGTGGGGTGACACAAAGTCAAGGACAGTCATTAAGATATCCATTGAAGGCAGTCCAGAATAAAAGCGAACTTTTTCATCAGAATCAAAAAAATCTCGATCAATTGGCTTATATGATTCTTTGAAAAGGTATTCAAACTCTTCGGTTTGAGTCATAGCTTCAGATACATCAACTTGGGTTTGAGTTGAACTGTCAACGAGAGTTGAGCAAGTGTGGTCTTGAAATGCGCAATCGTGATCAAAAATATCCTCAGAAGAATCAATTTCCTTGGATGATCCTTCTTTAGGATCACTGAAATCCACATCACGGACGGAAGGCCACTGACATCGATTTTCTTTCGTTTCTCAGCTGCCTCGCGTTCTTGACGCTCGAGTGATCTTTTGCGGCGTTCCTTCGCTCGTTTAGCTCTTGCCTCTTTAATGTCGTGGTTTTCCTGTTGATATTTTGTCTTCCCGAGATTCAAAGTAGGAACCCAGTCGACGTTGTACTTATCCCAGGGTTTTGCAGATTGCCCTGACACGAAATGTCGTCCACAGACTCTTTCATTACTGAGGACATCCTTCGAAGTGATGTCGTCGCGGCTAATGGCGGCGATCCATCTTTCTCTTCGTTCTCTGCTTAGCTCTTCTGCTTTTTCTCCTTGGTTAGTGACTACAACTGGAATCCTATAAAACCCTATACCTTTCGTCTCTCCACTATTATGAAAACAATCAACCATAATACAATGAACCATGATGAAGAATATTTCTAAAGCTTTGATAACACGCGAAATGTTTGAATGATACGACACCAATATGGCGGCGTAGCAACCGTTGTCAAGGTATAGGTCACGTGGGTGAAAACCAAGAATAGATTCGTCACGTAGTATTTGGACGTAAACGCTAGCACTGTTTGTCTTCCGGAATTTGTTTATCTTTGACATATTTCAATTGTTTGATATGAACGTTTGATTTCATCTGAAACAAAGAGATCTTTCTTTCCCCAGTGACGTGATCGGTATTCAAGACCTGATTAAAAAAAAGGCCGGTAGAAAAAGATAATTGCAATTTGCTAGTTCAGAAGATACTTTCTCGAAATATAACTGAGTTATTTTTTTTTGTTTTGTTTTTAATTTAGCCTAGAGAACAGGCAAGAAATTTTGCTCGCCCTCTAGTCACGTTGCGGAGCGTGGGAGCGTGAGTCACGACATGCACGCACACTGCCAAAAACTCGTCACGTGGTATTTGGACGTAAACGCTTGCACTGTTTGTCTTCAGGAAATTGTTTATCTATGACATATTTCAATTGTTTAATATAAGCGTTTGATTCACCTAGAACAAAGAGTTCATTCTTTCAACAGTGACCTATTCAAGACCTGAGAATCGTAAAAAGGCCAGTCGAAAAAGATAATTTCGATTTCCTAATTCAGAAGATACGTTCTTGAAATACATCTTAGGTTTTTGTTTTTCAACTTAGCCAAGAGAACAGGCAAGAGGTTTTGCGTTTCTAAGGCGCGCGTGAAGCTAGAGTCACGTGTGATGGAGGAGCGCTTGAAAAAAAAACGACAGAAACCGTCTGCATTTTATGACCGGAGCCAGCCTTCGGCTGGGCCCCGGTAAATAGCTGGTAATGTGCTGAATTTAGGGAAGCTATTTCCCTGTCACGGACTGTTAGGCTTCAAGCACGGCAAGTTTCCGTCTGCAGGAAAGTGAACAATAGATTGCCACATGATCAGTCAGCATTGCATAACAATGACTAACGGAGATTTCATCCGGTGATGACACACTTGTTTAAGCGTCCGTTTCCTATCTTTCTGGGCATGTGCTAAAAATTAAGAACAGCAGATAATCGCTCGCATTTCAAGACATCTTGCCAGTGATATCTTACCTTTAGTTAACATTCGTCATGAAAATGGATTTTTTTTATATTACAAGCCATGCAAATTCAGCCAATCATTGATCATTTCCTTTATTCTCTCGACCTTAATGAGTGATTTCGGGGTGATGTTATGAAGAGAAATTAGATGCTGGTCACTCTTAGGGGTCAGGAGGGGGGGGGAAGATTTATCTGTGGGGGAAGGGGGTGAGGGTGAGGCGCAGATTTGTGGGGCGGGGCTTCTTCGTGCGTGCTCGCGTTCAATTGTTGCCCGCGTTCAATTGTTGCCCGAGTTGATAATTCGTGCGAACCCAGGTTGCCAGTTTGTACTCTCTGTGAATAAAGAGAGTAAGTTTCTAAAGAACTGTGGCGCTCCGTCTGTGGGAGAGTATAACAGAATAATTTAGTCCTATCAACTGAGTTGATAGCGTAAATTGGCCACCTTAAAGAGTTTCAAAGCTGACGTATCAAGCGTTAGTCCTTCGTCAAAGCGATCTATGTGTTGGTTCGATGATTTTCGATTACTGAATCATTTGAACCGAGTCTGATTTTTAACCGACCAACAACTAGAAAGTATAAGCAATAAAGAGCACAGCTAAAAATTCAAAATTTAAAATCTCAAGTATGACAGATTGGTGGTTGTTTATGACTTTAAATCGTTAAGACTGAGTGGTATCTTATTTCTCCTTACATGACCACTGATGGTCACCCACCAGAGAAGCTCTTGATTGTTAGATAAATTCTCCAAGAAAGTGCCGCAGGAAAGGTATTAAGGACAATATGGAGAAAATGCACACTGATCCGGCTAAGGGTGTAAAAAGGGTTAAGGAGAAAATGTTTCATTGGCTCCATTTGATTCCATTGCTTTGCATTTATGACACTCAGATGAAAATTGCCCTGATAGGTGAAACAAAACATATTTCCATTATAGCATTACAGTGGTCCCGAATCGTCTCACTGCTGATGGTGGAAGAGAAGTGCATGAGTTGAAAAGATTCAAGACCACGAGATCATGGTATCATTCGACATAGAGTCACTGTTCACCAACGTCCCCATCGAGGATACAGGAGAAGCCACACTACGAAAGTTAGAGAGTGAACCAACCCTTGCAGACCACACGACATTAACACCTGCTCAGATTGCGGACCTCTTAACCTTCGTATTGAGATCCACATACTTCCAGTATAACAGTTCGATCTACGAACAGCTGGAGGGTGCAGCCATGGGGAGCACTGGTTTCCGCGGTTATTGCTAACCTCTACATGGAGGTATTTGAAGGACAAGAAATAGAATCCACAACACAGAAACCCCAAGATCTGGAAGTGCTACGTTGATGATACCTTCACCATCCTGGATCGCAGTTATGTCGACTGTTTCTTACACCACCTCAACAGTCAGCAGCCTACCATCCGATTCACCATGGAAACAAGATCGCCTTTCTCGACCTTTCCGTTACAACCTCTTCGCCGTTGCATACAACCACAAGGCATCCGCGCAGTATTCAAGTCCGACACGACACTTAGATCGCATTTAATACGACCAAAGGACACTGTCAATCTAATTAGAAAGGACAACGTGGTTTACTGGATTGCCCGTAAATGCAGCAAAATCTACATTGGTGAAATGAAAAGACCTATGCAACAGAGGATGGAAGAACACGAGAGGGATATACTTTTAGCCCGTACCCAGACCTTTGCCGTTTCTAAGCACGCCAACAAGACCGGCCACCACCCGCACTGGAGTGAAGTAAAGTTTATTGATTAAGACTCACACTGGTACACCAAAAGAGTCAAGGAAGCTATTTACATAAGATTTCACCCTGATAACCTCAACAGGGATAACGGAATCGAATTCCTGAAGCGTGGATACCAACGATCAAGAAACAACGGGAGACCGGTACGATAGCAAACCGTCGAGAGAACAACTTAGAGTCAGC